AGTTACAGTGACTGCATGCCGCCTGCACGACACTGAGTTGTTTCAGTTGTCGTTGCAGCTTTGGTGGACTTCACTGATGTCTTGTTCCGCATCTGCTGACCTGCTGCAGGACAAACCTCTGTCAACTCTCCATTCGAGTGAAAGTTATGCTCAGTCGTTTGGAAGTTTTCTCCCGCGGTGCAGCAAAGAACAGGGCTACAGTCTTTGCAAAACGGTCTATTCTTACAAAGGCTGCTCAACGACGGCGCTGAAAAGACATCTCGACACCAAACAGCAGTCCGAAGTGAAGCAGCAGCATCCCCAAACGCCGGCGGTGATAATTTGGACCAGCTGAATTGAAAAAATCGAACTTAGGAAAAAAATATTTAAAAATCATTATTTGCCACATCAATGAAACTCGTTAGCTCGCTCGATAGCTTGCTCGTTAGTGGAACTGATCGCTCGTTTGTTATAGATACGCTCGTTTCAACACTAGAAAACGGGTCCAAAAAGGGTACCTAAACTGGGGATCGAACCGCACGATGCACTGTTGCAGGCGGGGTCAAACGGCCTGGATTTTGATGGTTTTTCCCTATTCAGTGCTTTTGGGGCAAAACCTGGCCGAAATCCTATTCTTGCTATGGCTTCCTTTTCGGACAAAAAAACTTCAGAAACAAAATTGGAAGAGGATTCCATTGGGGATGGCAGAAAAAAATTCTAAAAAAACTCAATGTTTGACCCATTTATGGCCAAAAGCTAGAAGTCCATCTTTTTCTGAATGGACTGTACAATACTTGCCAAAACAATCCGGCCAATGCTGCATGCATAGTACTAGTCAACTACCATGTGCTGCATTGGCCGGATATTTTTGGCGAACATTGTAGATATGCACATAATTGGTACATTGGTACATAATTGGTACATTTTTGGCGAACATTGTAGATATACACATAATTTTTCCAGGTGACATCAAAATTTAACGACTTCCTGTAGAACGGGTAATTCTAGCGACTATTAATTTTAGCGTTTTCTCATTGTCAACCGGTTAGCGACGTTTTATTTTAGCGATTTGCAGCGATTTTACTCACGGATCACCGGTGCACTACTATGTCTCAACGGATTAGCGACTTGAAACTTTAGCGAAAATGAGTCGATCGCTAAATTCGCTAGGGTTTTTACGTCGCTAAAATTACCCGTTCTACAGTATATGAATTGGTCAAATCGTTAACATTAAAATTCGTTTATGAATGACAGTGGTCTTACAGTAACATCACCCAGTAGACAGTCATGTAGTACGTGTAGATCTAAATCTGTGTTTGTGTAATTGCCATGCTGTGTTTGTGATTCTCTCAGGCTATCAAAGAATTTGATCTGACCTACATCCACCCTCGCCAGTCTATTCTGGACGCAGGCGAGTCGTGTATCGAGTTTGGTGCTGTGACACTGCCGGCCAACTATCAGCCACCAACCACTGCCGCTGCGGACAGTACTGCTGCTGCTGCTGCTGTTGCTGCATCACCGAGCACGGCATCGGACGAGGGCAGCGCGACCGCCACTGCTGAGGTACAGGCTGCGGAGACAGCCACGGAGACAACACCAGCGTCCGACGTCGACGCCGAAGCTCCATACACCGACGTCGACTCAACGCCCGCCAAGCCGAGCGAGGACACGACCGTGACATCGCAGAATGACGAATAGCGATGACGCGGCGGTGAGCTGTATTGCGTGCACCACCGACCCATGTGGGAAGTACCATACAAGTGCATACCTGCCAAGTACTGAAAGCGCCTCTTCTAGATCGTAAGAGCAAAATCCCTAGATTTGCCAAAGGTTTTGGGGTGAGATGTCATCTCGTACTTAGCAGGTACATGTGTACAAGTGAGGCAATTCATGTACCAGGTTTCTTCATATCCTCTGCTTTACATTCTGAATAACCAACCGGGGTCTCCGAGAATCTCCTCTATTTATTTCCGTCCGCCACTCGCATTACAAGCTGGACTATTCGATTCCGGTGATAACAATACTGGGACCTCTCAGTCACGAAAGAAGAAACTGTTTTGACGGCCGACGTCATGGGTTTGTGGACCAGCCTCTTTTGGCCGCTTTCCGCCGGCAATGGTACTCCGTGAGTACGCCGCGCCAACTGTTGACTGATTTCCTTGTTGTTTTCAGTCATACGAGCGTCCGCTGCATGGACATTGGTGTTCTCAGGTGTAAATGCAGTCGTTGCAATATCTTTTCTCCGACCAACTTTCTGTTTTGCAAAATTTGTTAACTAACTTCATCTATCGTTCAGTTATCAACAACCATTTATACCCACATGTACATGTTGTGGCAATCATGCTACAGCATGATCTCTGTTTTCACCCTCAAGATGGGCCATGCCGGAATATCATTGGTGAATACAATATTTAAACTCGTATAACTCATAACTCGTTCTCATGTGTTTCTTCTTTATTGATACTTCTGAAGTATTTATAGTGACATCTGCAGCAGAGAGGCCGTATTTAAACGTTTTTTGAGTTGAGATGCCCTAATAGAGGAGTTAACATAATTGAGCTGCACGTTATTTCTGACGTGACACATAATTTCACGTCAAATTTGGCGTAAAACTCCAAATTTCGACGTGAGCTGCAGGTCACTCGCGTTGTTTTCCAACGCGCGAGAAGTATTCACTGTTCACAATTTCCTATTTCTGCTTCGACTGATCTGTTTCTTTCCAATCTTCTAGTGGCAGGATTTCACACACACTACTGTAGTTGTAGCTGTAGCCTGTGTAGGCAATTCCCACCCAGTGCTACCATGGTTACTGCCCTGCAGACATTAGCCCGCGGAGGAGCAAGAGACTCGAGGAGAATGATGTTTGCAGACTTTGCAGTGAGCTACCTGACCATTGTCCAATCCACTGGCCCTGAATACAACTGAAGTGATATTATGAAGTGGCACTATTTCATATTATTACAGGCACTATTTCAATTAAAAAAAAGAAGGACTCGGATTGATGGAGAGCCCGGCAAGGATAATTTATACAAGTAGAAAAAAGGACCAAGGAACTACAAGTAGCGATATAATGTCCACTTACACCACCCAACACCACCAGTTACTAAAAAATCAGCTCATGCGATAACATTGCCCGGCACTGACCAACGGTACTGACGTTTTACAACTAACTGGCTATCAGTGGACATTAGAGCGGAAATAATACTAAGTCTTGTAGTTCCTAGAATCCTTGGTCCTTTTCTTTTGTAGAAAAAAAGGAAGATGTAAACATTTTACAGTGCATGCATGCGCATGCGCACTGTCCTTTCTAGTATCAACACTTAAAGCCCTTGAAAAGTGGTCTACAAAGTACTGTAAATTTCACAAATTTTCGGTGTACTTTTATTTTCGGTACTTTCGGTGCGTCTGTTTCATACCTAAAATTTCAATACACCGAACAAACACTAACACACATAAACCAATAGGGAACTGCTTCTCTGTACCGAAAATTTCTGTTCACCTAACCTAGCCTGTTGCCCTCATACCGAAAATATTGAGCACCGAAAATTTCTGAAATTAGAGTAGATCTACAATCTATTCTATTTTAGCAGAACGGCCCGTGACCTGTACAAGACAGTATAGAGGCACTAGGAACCGGTTTTCTGCTTTCTCCTCAAGCGAAGTACAAGCAGCTAGAAACAACGGGAATAGAGTATTGCTTAGTATGTAGACTGCATACTACATGTACAGTATAATACTATGATAAATTGATAATTACACCATACTACACAATCATGCTCCGGCAGTGGGAGTCGTCAGTTATTGTTTCGGCACAAGTTAGTTGTTGCTATGATTTCCGCGAATGGAGATGCGGCTGGTGTTGTTGTTGTTGTTGTTGTTGTTGTTGTAGAAGTCTATTTGGTGTGTAGGCTGCCTCAGTGTTTTTCGCTCAACCCGTGGTGAATATGAATATGAATGGTCTCCACCAGTACTAGAAGAATCCGCCTCTGATTCACCTGGGCCGTGCCGGCTCTTTTGTCAGTGATCTCTCGCAGATGCTGACCGGGGTCAAGTCCGTTACAAGTCCCTGGAATGAGGAGCTAAAGGAACTCCTCAGCCCACCCCAGGAACTGTTACTTGACATAGCTGGCGAGGCGGGGGTATCCAGCTGGAGGACGGCTGACCCCTCCAGGCCTCCATCGGTGATTTTGGGCTGAACAAGTCGGATTTTCCTGATGCGTTGGCTACTAGTATCCGGTAGCGCTGGCTCCTCCGCGACTTGCCGAGCACATGTGTGTGTGGAGCAGTACTGTCTTTCGTCAAGTTTGGATCACGCAGCGACGTGTCCTACAGGGGGTTATCCCACCCTGAGGCACAACACGCTGCGTGGCTGATGCGATGGGCGCTGCTCTACCAGATGTCCTGCTTGAGCCTCCCCTTCTGCCGCTGGAAGGTGAGTCGCTCTCCGGAGCCTCGGCCAAAAAAAAAGAAAAGAAGAGACGAAGCCCGGTTGGACATCTGTGCAAGACTTCTGGTCTCGACATCTGGATGCATTTTTATGTTAATAGGGTTACTCACCCATCAGTGTCCGTGTTGTCGAGAGGGCAACTGCTAGCGTGTAGTGAATGTTGAGAGACGTGCATTCACACTTCACACTTTATTAGGCTTTGAGGCTTTGGTCTTCACCATGTTCACTGATGTACTTGATAGTGATGCAGTCAAGACTGACAAGATCAACGTCACGTCTGAGAATGAGATACAGTTATTATATTATTTTTAATTTATTATTTATTATTATTAGTCTGACTGCCATTATTACTACAATGACTTAATGTTAATATGTACATGACTTTTTTTTGTACAGTCATTGTTGGCGTAGATATCTACATGACCAGATGACAGTAGGTCTACATCATGTACATGATGGCAGATCTACATCATACAATCATGGTCCTTGGTACTAGTAATCATGGTAATGCCGTAGGCGTAGTAATGGTAGCCTACAGCCAGGATCAGATCAGATCTTCATCACTCGCTGCGTGCATGCATGCACACTTCCCACTCAGTCTCTAGCTAACTAACTCTGCCTCGTGACATGAGTTCACGCGCCGCGCTAGCGCTAGCGATGTCCATTTTTTTCGGCATGTGTAATTCACTGCACATCGCAAAATCAATCTGGATCCGGCCGGCTGTTATTTCGATAACAATAATAATAATTATTATTGTGCAGCCCCGACCTTTGACTGTACGGACGCCGTTCACAGGTGCAGGGCGCAAACTAACGCCGCGATCGGATTTATTTGAGCAGCATCACGGATCGCGGAGTCGTCAAGTACATAACCAGTGTACTACAGGTCAGATTTTACTCCATGACTTGTACAGAAAGGGGTGGTTTACGAAAATGAATTTGAGAATACGATCACTATAAGAGGTATATTACTATAGCCGACAACCCTATAGCCGATCCGCACTGTATAACCTTTTTAATTTTTTTTATGAACTATTACTTCCTGAATTATTGATCAGAGTGGATCATTAGCAACGTACATGTACATGTAGCTAGGTCAACATCATTAGACTCAAGAGTACAACGGCATGTACAATCATGCACATGTATAAAAAAAATAAAAAGATCGACGAGTTCGCGTGCCGGGCAGGTCAAGAACAAGGAGTCGTACAACTCCCTGGTCAAGAACCACCTTTCCGTTTCCGTGGGACGCCACCACCCCATGATCAGGCGTCAGATGCGGCTCCTAAACGGTGGGGGAGGATAGATCAGATCCAGCAACCAATCATGTATACACGTACATAACCCAGACTGGCCTAGGCTTGTACAGGTCCTCCCTCGTTAGTAGAAAAATGGCCCATCACAAAAGTTATCATTAAAACGAGACTTATCTTGTAAAATGACTTTCAACTAAAGATACAAGAAGCACTGATTCGTACTTCTATGGGGTACCATCAATACAAGATAAATTATCGGCGCTTGAAATAGTGCGAGCTCCAGTGTGGGAGCAAACCCATTCCTAAACAAAATCATCGCCGAAGTCGCCACCTCTATTTTGAACTCGTTATAAGATAATGGAACATATCCAAAATAGCTGTTTGCATTTGTATTTGTATTTATGGGGAACTCAGTTCCGGCATCGGTCCGCCTTGCTGCTTCACCAAGTCAATTTCGTATCGCAATCCTAGATTGGCTAGGGTACCCCGTAAGGAGACCATAGGTCTGTGGGTACTGCCCTAGAGAAATATGAATAAATACTATACTACTACTACTACTACTACTACTATGGATTCTCCACAGGCCTTAGCCTAAATCGAGGGAGTCTCCTTGGATACAAGAGATCGTCCATATCTACTGAATACAACATATGGGTTCGCATGGGACTTCGGGTATAAGGACACTTTGCGAATACGGACACTTTTCTGATGCCCCGCCGAGTGTCGTCATTCACGAAGTTGACTGTAGATAGAATACGTTGTGTCTTTCTGCTTTCTCCTCAGCATGATGAGTTTTGGCCTTGGGTGTGCATGGTCGGTACTACCGTACTGGCAATATATGTTGCCGCGTAATGCGTAACGCAGGGGGTGCGGCGTAACGCGCGACCAGGCTAGTGCGACAAATTTTCGTTGCGTTCATAACGCGCGTCCGGCGGGGTGCGGCGATCTTTTCATTGCAGTTTGCAAAAAATGATGCGGCAATAACAAAAAAATGATGCGGCAATAGCAAAAAAGTGATGCGGCAATAGCAAAAAAAGGACTGCGGCAATATAGAAACCTGTGTAACGGCTCCTGTGCGACTTTGCATGTAATGCCCTGCGTGCGGTAAACATGTGCCAATGTAACGCTTCATGGCCTCACTGCGACCATAATTATATTGCCAGTACGGTATCTTATACTGAGGGTTTGGCACTCCAGGCACCTGGGCAAAGGACGTCGTTATAACGAATTTGATGCACTAACGAATTAAGTCGTAACCGGACCTGTAAACAGTTGTATAGACCACGTTTCGCCCGGGGATTTCAGATTTCTATTTACTATTATATGACGGGGTTTGTGTACTATTGAACCGGACTCGTTAGAATGAGGGAGAACGTGTAATAGGGTTTTATTCAGAAAAAAACGCGATCCTTTCCAGGGGCGTCTCAAGGTATTTTTGGATGGTACGGTCAGTCATCTGCAGTACAGTTTACTAGTGGGGGAGGAATGGCGGAGCCAAATTTTTTGGAAATTTAGAGTCCAGATCAGTGTGTGCCCACTTCATTGCTGATGATGGTTATTTCATGACCGAAACGTTGAAATGAAATATTTTTCTGGTGAAAAGCAGTGATTTGAGTGTGAGCCAGTGTTGCTCACAACCACATTTTTCAGATCAGTGTATGTTTTTGATTCACGGGTAACTGGGGCAAAACGTGGTAGGGTCAATACGGTAGTGACCGTGTACCGTGTGCGAGGCCCCTGCAGCCTGCAGCCTGCTATCAGCTTTGTGCTCTTGTACTCTTGCCAGTGCAGTGCAGTCCGATCTGGGTTTACTACAGCCCAAATAGTCACGGCATGCTCCAGCAACTGCACGTGTATGCGCCGCTAGGCCTGATGCAGGCAAGCCACAGGATGCAGCAGGGGGTCGTGAAATGCCGGTATTTTACTACTCCCTGAGATAAAGGCTGCGTCGAGCACCAACCCATACACGCACGAGTCCATGACCTGGGATCATCCGAGACTTTTTTATTATTATTTTTATTCCAAGCAATACATGGCTGGGGTAGCTAATGACCACTTTGGGTGGCGATTGCAGGGTTGTTTTTGCCAACCATGGCTAACAAGGAAAAAGAGTAAGAAGTCAAAAGAAAAGGAAAAGAAGAAAAAAAGAAGCAAATATGGACTACAATTGTGGTCTAAAGCAAGGCGTTCCCTGAATGCTGTTAAAGCCACTGCAAATAGCCATTGAAAGGGGTGGGGGGGGGGGGAGTGTCGCAATGCAGAAGAGCGGGCTAGAGGAAGGGAGAGTTGGTTCCTAGTGGAGCTATCCTGTCGAAACCAGTCGAATTTTTTAAGATGCGGGGTATTTTTTGGAAAATCGAATACAATGGATGAGACAGCACATCAGGATTCGTCGTCTTGCGCAGAGCCATGATGACCACATGTGTGGCACAGTGTAAGAGTATAATGGACTCTTGGCGTCTTTCCCAAATTCACGCCGGAATTTTACAACTGCTTTGGTTTTTTTGTAGGTGTGTAGCTACAGTATTCCTTCCCCAAACTGTTCTCAACGAAGACTAGCCCGGTCGCAATGATGGAGAAAGTTTTGGTGACTGGTGCAAGTGGCTATATCGCCTCTCACATTGTCCACCAGTTGCTCAGCGCTCGCAACGAAGATGGCTCTCCGCGGTACGAGGTGCGGGGCACCGTCCGCATCTCGTCACTGGAGAAGAAGACGCCGCTCCTGATGGAGATGGCTGGCAAAATTGACGATGGTGCGGCGGCGCGCCTGGAAGTGGTCGGTGCTGATCTGCACTCGGACGAAGGCTGGCAGAGGTATGTCCTTGTGTTATGTCCTTGTTGAACGGACTGTAGGCGTGTATGGAGTATAGGCGTATAGACTGTGTACGGGTGAGCCAGTCACTTGGTGTGATCATGTGAGGTTCTCCTTTTTATTTATATTTTTTACGTGAAATGTAGAGAACAGGTGTCTGAGTCTAGCTAGGCTTTGCGTGTTTTGGGTCCAGATTTCTACGCGGAGATACAGTACAGTTCTCAAACGTTGTAGCACAGGCAGGGAAAATGCGCACAGACCTACATACTACATACTAGCAAGAGTACACATATCCCGTTATCAGGTTATGTACTTTATGCTACTGGGTGGTATTCGAATCAGGGAGAGCCCGGCGTCGAGTTGCACACTCTTGGTTATGTACGAATAGTGCCGAAATGTTGTATATTTACAGTATACTAAGCTCAAAGTCTCAATTTCTCAAATTTTGCTCTTGTTGTGCTTTGCACTTAAACTCACCACATGTACATGTACACTCACCTTTGCGAATAACGACACTCGGCGGGGCATCAGAAAAGTGTCGTTATTCGTGAAGTGTCGTTATACCCGAAGTCTCATTATAATTATGTATTACAATTGGGTGGGACTTTGCTCTGGGCTTGGACATTCTGTCGTTATTTGCGAATTGTCGTTATATCCGCAGTCGTTATTAGCGAAGTTGACTGTACATTGTGGTTCTGTCCTAGACGATAACTCAAGATAGGTCGCTTGGGTGAGATGCGATGCTCCGGCAGGACTTCAGTAGCATTGGTGATTGTGAACCATGTATTTGTTGTGTATGGGTTGATCCTTGCGTTTGTGCGAGTACATGCGTGTGTGTGTGTGTGTGTGTGTGTGTGTGTATGTTTGTATGTGCGTGTGTGCATGTGCATATGCATGGTTGCTTGCTTGCATGTTTGCCTGCTCGTGGATACGCACAGTGCAGTGGACGGATGCACATACGTACAGCACACAGCCTCGCCTCTTCCGACGTCCGTTCCCCAGGACCCCGAAGAACTGTCTCGACCGGCAGTAGGTGGCGTTGAGAGAGTACTCAAGGCCTGTCAGCAAGCCAAGACGGTCAAGAGAGTTGTTATGACCAGTTCAGCAGCAGCTATTGCAGGTAAATGAACATTACAGTCCCGGAGCCAGCTCCTGAGGGGTGGTATGGCCCCAGGTTGACTGCAGGGCCGATCAGTTTCCCTGGCCCAATTTCAAGTGTGTCATGGAACGATGCATGTCTTCTGCATCACACCTGTACGTTCCAGCTATACATACCGCTAGCAACACGGGCCCGCCGGAAGGTGGGCGAAGTTGGTCCGGTTTGAGGGGGTCCGGAGGATCTCCCCTGGAAATGGTTTGAATAGTTTAGGAGGGAGACTCTAGCGACTCAGTAGCGAGGATAGTTTAGTCGTTATCAATTTTATTGATCATACACGGACAATCTGTAATGCTGGAATTGGTAAAAACTGGTACGGCCATGGCCGCCGCACCAGCTGTGCCAGTGGCGTCGGCCCTGCATTAAACTACTGTACTAAAATCCATAAACATAACGAAGTGATAATTCTAACGACTTAACGAGGAGAAATCTGTGGTTAAAATAGAAATCGTTATACAGAGATCGATACATACATGTACATGTATACTGTTGCTATTGAGCGTTCAGGTTGAGTGAGAATCGTTACCTTTGGCACGTAAACCAGTCAATTTTAGGAAATCGTTATATATGCGCCTCGTTAGAATAAGTATAACTATGGCATGGTTGGGGCTCACTTGGAGGGCACTGGAAATCCATTATTGCCCAACCTACCATGCCATAATGGATTTATCACTTTCAGTCTAACATTACTGAAGACACTAGCCTGAAAGAATCAAAACTAAAGGAGAAAGTCGACCTCGTGTGCAGCAACACTTGAAAGGAAAGAAAAGCGGAGATGGCCACTTTCGAAGACGCGTTCACGTGTACACTGCACTGACTCTGTACACAGTCACCTTGTTCGAATCCCGTAGATTTCACGCGTCCAGTGTCACTGTCAGGGTTGTCACGGACGACGGGCTTTGGATGCAGGCGTTGGACTGATTTATAGCCCGCTCATACTGATCAGTGATTGGCCCGATCCAAGGAAACAGTCACGTGACATGTGATAATGGCTTTTACAGTGCCATAGTCCATACATATGAGACTCAGTTTTGTGAAAATCTGATCCGGCTAGATTTTGGTTCAGAACCAAATTCAAAACGGCTAGACATTGGTTTTAAGTCAGGCACATGGCAAGCAGGAAATGTGTGTGTGTGTTGGGGGGGGGGGGGGGGGCAGAGTACGTGGGTGCGTATGCGCATGGGTGTGTGTGTTGGTATATCGTGTGCAGGCCGCAGTAACATTCTAGGTATAGTGTAACTTTGACCATCCTCCCCCTCCCCCGCAATCTCTGTGCCTCTTATCTGTTTCCTCTACCCGTGTATTTGCTGCCGTACAACAGGGTCCGGAAACCCTTCAATGGGCGATAAACCTGCCGATCATGTGTTCAGCGAAGAAGACTGGGCGACACCAGAACTGTGCCCACCGTATGAGCGCAGCAAGACCTTGGCTGAGCGTCGAGCCTGGGAGATGTGGAGGGACACTCCAGGTAGGAGTATGATGGTAGAGAGTAACACCATTTGCAGGGCATGAAGTTGTTCTGAGCAGCTTTACTGCCTTGTTGGTTAATGCTTCCTCTAAAAGAGGCTGCTGTCTGCCAAGAATATTATATATTTACAAGTCATGATGGATGATGCGTGCAAGATATTAGTGTCTGCTGCTTGAAAAGCCTTACACAGATTTTATAATGAACTCGGATGGAGAGCCAAGGATTATTTATAAAAAGTACAAGTAAAAAGCTGAACTGATTGTTTAGTAACTGGTGGTGTTAGTGGACATTATAGTGTACTGTAAATATACAAAATTTCGGCGCTGCAAAATTTCGGCACTTCACGATTTTTGACATTTCGGCGGCGATTTTTTTCGGCATGGGGTAGAGGGCATGGTTTAGTGCGACAGATGCTGTGAAAAATTTCATCGGCGTTTTAATTTAGGCGTTTTGGGTCGGTGCCGAATATAAATACCGTACTGGCAATATATATGGTCGCAGTGAGGCCATGAAGCGTTACATTGGCACATGTTTACCGCACGCAGGGCGTTACATGCAAAGTCGCACAGGAGCCGTTACACAGGTTTCTATATTGCCGCAGTCCTTTTTTTGCTATTGCCGCATCATTTTTTTGCTATTGCCGCATCATTTTTTTGCTATTGCCGCATCATTTTTTGCAAACTGCAATTAAAAGATTGCCGCACCCCGCCGGATGCGCGTTGCGAATGCAACGAAAATTTGTCGCACTAGCCTGGTCGCGCGTTACGCCGCACCCCCCTGCGTTACGCGTTACGCGGCAACATATATTGCCAGTACGGTAGCTGCTGAAAATTTGTATATGTACAATAACTTGTAGTTCAAGAAACTAACTCGCCTCCTCCATGCGCTCTAAAGCCGACCGTTGCTACCCTCGGTAGCCATTACTCACACCAATAACTTCAAACAACGACGGGGTCACGGGTAAAACATTTCCTTCTGACAGCTGTTTCGCCTATCAAAGGCTCGTCAGGGAAGGTGATACTGATATTGTAATTGACATGGCATACTGATTTTATTCCCGTAGCTATGCAGAAGACGTTACTTCAGTAACGTCTGGCGCTAGCCAGGGTCCACACAGCTTTAATTTGGTATTTGTTTGTTTGTGTGTTTGTTTGTTTGTGTCACGCCTGGCGCTATCCGTATCTGACGGCAAAAAAGCATAGGATGTTATAAATTTTTCAATTCTCCTATTTTTTTTTCAGGCATATCCTGGGATTCGAACCCGCACTATCGCCCTACATGCATTCCCCCATACACTTCGCATTCATACCCATTCTTCCAAGTTGCTTCACGTTATGATCTTGCGTTTGAAAGCCCTATTTGAATATTGCGGGCAGCTGTATGTGGCCAGCTGTGTTTGATGGTACGGTACGGTACGGGAGACGGTGTCGTATTACCCTCGATCGTACCTGTCCCGTACCTATCCACTACCGTACCGTGCCATCAAAGACGGCTGGCCACAATGCATATTCAAATAGGGCTTTGAAATGCAAGATCACAATGTGAAACAACTTGGAAGAATTAGTATGTATGCGAAGTGTATCGGGGGATGCATGCAGGGCGCGCGATAGTGCGGGTTCGAATCCCAGGTTATGTCTTAAAAAAAGGATTTTTTTAAAGAATTTATAACATCCCTATGCTTTTTGTTTGTCTAGGTCATCAAGGCAAAAAAGCATAGCGTAGGGCCCTGAGCTTCCAAGCTCTCTCGTACGGTGCAATTATTATGGGCGCAAGAAAGAAACTAGGCAAGGTGTAACACTGAGAAGTTCCAAGAATATTCTCAAAGCCGTTGGTTCTAGGAAAATAGCAGGTGAGAAACTGTATTCGTCCAATCACAAGCTGCTAACATTTTGCATGGCTCGATAATGCAATCAGTATGCGTGTGTGTGGCGTGTATATGTGTGTGTGTGTGTGTGTGTGTGTGTGTGTGTGTGTGTGTGTGTGTGTGTGTGTGTGTGCGTGTGTTTCTAGTAGCTCTTCTTTCATTCTCCTGGGTGATTACCAACAGCCAGTGTATGCCGGAGTATGTGGTGTGGCGTGTGTGTAAAAAAATGAAAAATAGGGATTCACTGGCCAGAAAAAGCCACTTCAATCAGCTGTGTGGTGGACACCAGGCTAGAAAATAGTGGCGGTCAATTCATCAGCCTAGCAAGCTGTTGAATGGTGTAATCCCAGCACAAGTTGCTATGTCTGACATAGCTGTTCACTATCATCGCTTACGCGATGGGCATGTCTGAGGTCTGAGGTGTTTGCGTGCGTGTGTGTGTGTGTGTGTGTGCTTGTGTATGTGTGTGCATGTGTGTGCGTGTGTGTGTGTGTGTGTGCTTGTGTATGTGTGTGCATGTGTGTGCATGTGTGTGTGCATATGCATTATGCATGCATTCATATGTGTGTGTTCATATGTGCTGATATCCACGTCCACACAGAGGAGGGCCGTTTTGAGCTGGTTGTCATAAACCCAGTCATGGTAATGGGACCGCTGGTTATGAGCAACGCCGGTGCTTCATTGATGGTATGTATTGAGACTATTGACGCTGCTGCCTAGCCGTCGGCGGATACTGCTCTAAAAGTGGCAGTTTCTGCTGGAAAAGCAGTGAGATTGGCAGAACCATACAAGCCTTATGGCAGTTGCTTCTATGAATTCTGCTCCATTTCTTTATTCAGAATTATACCGAATATCCGTGAAATAGGCATGGAAAATTTCTAGGGGGGCGTTCGAATTGTCACTCATTGACGTTTCGAGGAGTTTTGTTTTTCTGAAGAGGTGGTTTATTGGCCTCTCCAGAAAACGAAAGTCTCCTCGAAACTCCTCGAAACTCCACAATCTCATTCGATGGGAGAGGTGGATTAGTTTAGAAGACCCTGGAATATTCCCGCGTCGAGATAATCGATCGGATCGGACGTCATTATCGCCATTACAATTCCACTAAAAACTCTAAAATGATAGAAACCGTTCTATTGTGTCACTTCAACTAATCTCTTCTGAGATGTTTCTCGAGAAGGTGATGGGGACAATTCGAACGCATTATTCCCAATTGAACATGGTTGAAGAAGCGGTCACGTGCTCCTGCGTACACCAGTCACCTGGTCACCGCGGCAGCAGGCGATAATTTTCACACCAAAGTTCAACTCAAAGATTCAAAGGTTCAACTCGAGTGACAGAAACTCGCCCAAACATTCTGCCAAATTGTCTGCCGGCGTTATCCACCAATGGCTCCCTTCAGCCTCACTCTGCATGTACCGGCACAGACCACCCTACAGCATCTTACAGTGGCACTGTTGCCATAGCATGTAACCATAGCAACGCAAGTACAATTTGGCGTGCACACCGCTAGTTAGGTTTAGCACTGAGAAGACCGAACCTTGCGCCCGGGACTGAGGTTCAGTGGCACTTGTCCGAACCTTGCGCCTGGGACTGAGGTTCTGTGACATTTGTCCTGAGCTAACACGGTGCTGCTCAATGAAATCCGATCGCTTTGAGAATGTTGCTGCCTAAGACCCTGTCCTCTTTCGATCCACGAGCCTGGCACTCCTGTCTTTCCGGGACAGTTCCCTACCGATTAGGCTACCGGGGATACACACACACGCATTCGTCCTTCTTGCTTCGTTTCTAAGTGTGATAAATGTAAAATAAAGCTAAACAAACAAACATAACATTGTGTCTCCATGGAAAAGTTTGACTTAATTCCATTCTTTGCTTCTTGATACTATTCACGCTGTTCGTCATGCTGTTGTGATAGCCCGTAACCAAGACGATGTCGGGGGAATTCCCCATGTACCCAAACGTGTACTACCCAATGGTGGACGTACGTGATGTGGGCCGCATTCACCTTGCTGCCATGACCAAGCCGGGGATATCAGGTACGAATGGATGAGTAACTTTCACGTTTGTGTGTGTGTGTGTGTGTGTGTGTGTGTGTGTGTGTGTGTTTGTGTGTGTGTGTGTGTGTGTGTGTGTGTGTGTGTGTGTGTGTGTGTGTGTGTGTGTGTGTGTACCATATGGTGCAGTGGTGTGTGCAGTCGATTTCCAATCGAGAGGTTGCGGGTTCAATTCCCGACGATTATGGTCGCACACGTCTTTCTTCTCTTTCTCATTCTCCTAGCTCTTCTTTCATTCTCCTGGGTAGTTACCGACAGCCAGTGTATGCTGGAGTATGTGGTGTGGCGTGTGTGTGTGTAAAAAATGAATGAAAAAATAGAAAAATGGAAAAAATGAAAAAATAGGGATTCACTGGCCATAAAAGCCACTTTAATCAGCTGTGTGGTGGATACCAGGCTAAATTAGTTGCGGTCAATTCATCAGCCTTGCAAGCTGTTGAATGGTGTAATCCCAGCACAAGTTGCTATGTCTAACATAGCTGTTCGCTATCATCGCTTCCGCGATGGGCAGGTCTGAGGTCTGAGGTGTGTGTGTGTGCGCGCGCGCGCGCGTGTGTGTGTGTATGTGTGTGTGTATGTGTGTGTATGTGTGTGTATATCATTGCCATTGGCCGTGGCCATGTTCAAGGTGTGCTCTCTCTCTCGCTCTCTCTCACTCTCTCTCTCTCCCTCTCTCTCTCTCTCTCTCTCTCTCTCTCTCTCTCTCTCTCTCTCTCTCTCTCTCTCTCTCTCTCTCTCTCTCTCTCTCTCTCTCTCTCTCTCTCTCTCTCTCTCTCTCTCTCTCTCTCTCACTCACTCACTCACTCTCTCTCTATCTCTCCCTCAAACTCCCCCCTCTCTCTCCCTCTCACTCCTTTGCGCACGCACTGTGGCTGCTCCAATTGTAGGCAATCGCTACCTTGCCTGTGCAGAGGAGTTGCCAGAGCATGGCTTTCCGGAAATAGCCCAAATCCTCTATGATCACTTTTCCCCTCGAGGTAAGTTTGATCCTGGTAAGTACAGTCAGACCTCGCTTATCCGGTCCTCTTTTATCTGGATCCGTCGCCATCCGGAAGAAAATCGCTGGTTACCGATTTACAGCATATGTCATGCATACATAATATAGTGTATGTGTGTTCGATTATCCGGTTCCCTCGTCTATACGGATATTTTTGTGGAAAACGGATGTATGCGGTTAAGCTAGGTCTGACTGTAGTTGTGGCATTCCTACGCATCTAGACAGTTCAGGATAACTGAGCGGAACGCGAACGGTGAATATTTTTTCAAACACAAATCTTCTTCCAGTTTGCAACGTAAGCCACGAAATAGTTGTTGTAGTTCAATGCATCAACGTTATGCTTAGTAGTGCCCTGTGACCCTGGTGACTGTCCCATTGGGACCAAGAGGTAGGCACCGGCAGATTATGCCGGCAGAAAAATTGGCAGAGTTCGGTACTTTTTCTGGTAAGTTTCATGCATGTTTGGTATGTGGATAAAGAAATGGAGCAGAATTCGAGGAATTGCCCGCCATAAGGTTTATATGGTTCTGCCAATTTCACTGCTTTTAGAGCAGAATCCGCCACGTTTTCGAGCAGAATCCGCCGGTCCCTACCAACAGGGTACTGTAGGTCAAGAAATATTTCAGTGAGCCACGCAACTGTACTTGAAGTCGTTGTACACCATAGCCTAATGTTGGATGTGAGTTTTGCGTCTTGATCTTATTATGCATTTTCAAAACATGGTCGCTGAGTGCCGCAGACAATTGCGCGGTGTCCGTTGTTTCTTTGTCGTTCATGTGCGTAGTTGCAGCCATTTTCCCTCCTTTCAAAAAACACAAATATGAAAGTTCTTCAGCTAATCCAGGTGACCACTGTCAACACTGCCAGCCAAAATGGGCCCACTGGCTTTTGAACGCCCGATTTCGGCCGGGATAAGGCTGAGAATCCCACGTAATTAAGCTTCGGATAATCTGGGTTTGGGATATTCTCCATACAGTTCTGCGCAGTATATCTGTCCAACATTCGTAAAACCTGGCCGAATTTATAATTTGCCAGTTGTGGATGAGTGGACTGTGTCCTATTTTGTATGGAGGCTCGAATTCTTTTTTCCGTCAATTTCTGTCTTTCTTTTCTATGCTTGCACTGCATTGCACTGTGCTCCGCTCTCACTCGCGTAGGATTCAATTTCTCCACGCGGGTAATGCCCAACTGGCTCGTGTTTCCACTCAAGTTTATCATCACGGAGCTGAAATTTGTTGCACAACACGTCGGCGTTAAAACGAGGCAAAACATTTCCAAGGTCAGCGGGTGATTGTGTCTTGTAGTTGCATTGCTTAATGTCATTTGTTGGTGGTGTTAGGGAGCCTAGTCGACTTGTTCTCACGAACTCAAGTGTCTAGTCATGATTTGTGCGTTGCTGACGTAGTCCAGAACCCGGCACATCGAATGCAGCCTTGACGTCCCGGCACATCGATTGCGGCCTTGACGTCCCGGCACATCGATTGCGGCCTTGACGTCCCGGCACATCGATTGCGGCCTTGACGTTCAGAAATCAGACCATCTACAGGTACCACCGTGAAGGTGGATTAACGCCCGTTACCCGTGCACAAGCCCAGGTGCCGGGTGCCACACTCTTGTCCCATTTTCTAGCCCAGCTCACGTGTAAACGCCCCTTTGCGAAAGCGCAGGCCCAGTGCACAGTGCAGTGCGTACTCACTCGCTGCTTGGCACGCTTGCAGCGCATCTTTCTTCTGTTGCAACCCAATGCCTGCGTGCACGGTACGGGATTTGCGAAGGCCACATTAGCGTTGGTGTGTCATTGTGCTTCGTTGTTGTTTTATTCTTTGCCGAGTTGAGTGGTCGTTAAAAACTGAAAAAGAACGTTTCGTTGACAGGGCGTGGTTTCTATGTGCATACCCTCTGTCATCCCAATTAATATAAATTCGTCAAATTGTTAACATTTAAAAAATTCGTTTACCGGTATGAATGGTAGTAGTCTTACAGTAATATCACCCAGTAGACGATCATGTACTACGTGTGGATCTAAATCTGTGTTTGTGTGATTGCCATGCTGTGTTTGTGATTCTCTCAGGCTGTCAAAGAATTTGATCTGACCTACATCCACCCTCTCCAGTCCATCCTGGACGCAGGCGAGTCGTGTATCGAGTTTGGCGCTGTGACACTGCCGGCCAACTATCAGCCACCAACCACTGCTGCTGGTGCTGCGGACAGTGCTGCTGCTGGTGCTGCATCACCGAGCACCGCATCGGACGGGGGCAGCACGACCGCCACTGCAGAGGTACAGGCTGCGATGGCAGCCACGGAGACAACACCAGCGTCCGACGTCGACGCCGAAGCTCCATCCACCGACGCCGACTCAGCGCCCGCCGAGCCGAGCGATGACACGCCAGCAACATCGCAGAATGACGAATAGGGATGACCCGGCGGTGAGCTGTGTTGCGGGCACCACCGACCTGTGTGGGAAGTATGTGCCGCCACGCAAGTGCATACCCGCCAAGTACTGAACGTGCCTCTTCTAGATCGTAAGAGCAAAATGCATAGATTTGCCTCGGTTTTTGGGTGAGATGTCATCTCGTACTTAGCAGGTACGTATGTACATATGTGCAAGTGAGGCAATAGATGTACCAGGTTTCTTCATATCCTCTGCTTTACATTCTGAATAACCAACCAGGGTCTCCGAGAATCTCATCAATTTATTTCCGTCCACCACTCTCATTACAAGCTGGACTATACGATTCCGGTGATAACAGTACTGTGCCCTCTCTCTGTTTTGACGGCCGACGTCATGGGTTTGTGAACCGGCCTCTTTTGGCTGTTTTCCGCCGGCAATGGTACTCCGTGAGTACGCCGCGGCAACTGTTGACGGATTTCCTTGTTGTTTTCAGTCATACGAGCATGTGCTGTACGGACTTTTTTGGTGCAGTTCTCAGGTGTAAATGCAGTCGATGCAATATCTTTTCTCCGACCAACTTTCTGTTTTGCAAAATTTGTTAACTAACTTCATCTATCGTTCAGTTATCAACAATTAATTATTTATACCTACATGTACATGTACATGTAGTGTCACTCAACAATCATGCTAGTGCATGGGGACGTACCCCCTTTCTTACGTTACTTCATAACTTAGAACCTTCCAAGTTGGAAGGCTGTTGGTTTGCGCATTCCAGACGTGATGCAGCTAAGCATCAGGTCGTTGAATGTCGGTATCACATCAGTTAGTTTTGTGTTATTTGTTGCACCTTTTGACTCAACAGTATCCTGCTTATAATCGTTAGTGTCGGACAAAACGGATAATTTGTAAACTTATGGTCCTCCCTTAATTAAGAACACCTTTAATGTGTATTATACGCGGCATCAAAGCTATCGTGCACAACCAGCCAATAAGACACAATAATTATTTTAGAACACCTGTAACCAATGGTAACCGGTTTTTCTGCTTTGAACGCTCAACAAGTGAAGTACAATCATGTACTGTACTGTACATGATTGTACACGCACAGAGCAGGGACCGAAGTAGAAACAATGGCACTGATTCCCACCCCCCACTGAATAGGGCTTGAAAGTGATGACGTCAAAACGGCCAGGGAGTAGTAAGTTGACATCAGATTTCTATTTTTGGATCCACTAAGGTGTGACTTTGCTATTGCCTAAAGTATGTGGGTGCATAGCAACCCACTCATGTCGCATGCAGGTGTGACTTTTATTTCGCCACCAGTTGTAACCCCGCCCCCAGTCAGCCAAATCAGTCAGTTTCACTGGCTACATCACCATGCTGTGGGTAAGACCGCTTGAAATGTGCTTGGATCCATACAAAAACTGGATCCAAGTGGATCCAGTTTGTTTGAAGTTTTGAAATTGTTGCTATGCTGTGACGTAGCACTTTCAAGCCCTGTAGACGAGGCTACACTGAATCTGCAATATTTAGAAAAGCGATCCTGTCAGCTTTTCTATTATTGTGTTCACATGGCAGAAAAAACGACACCGCTATGCTACGTAAGTTTCTACGTAAGGTGCTCGGTATTAGATCTACCAACGCTTGGTAGCCGCGTGCTGTGCACGTGCACGGCAGACATTGTGTTGCATGCAGTGCAGTCCGTTTTCGGATGTGCATGCGCGAAGAATTCCCTTCTTTGGAACTGCTTCTTGCATGAGCTGTTTCGGATATTTCGTGTCCTGGCTTATTATTTTATATTTTCGCTTCGGCTCTGCTGAGAACTCTTTTCACGGAATATTACTCAATGACAGGTGAGTTGACCAGTTCCCTTTGATTCATTTGCTTGTGTTGACTCTTTCATTTACGAAAAGTGTGCTGATGTTAGGTGGAATACAATAAAATTAATAATGGAAAAGCTGACAGGATCTCTTTTCTGCTGTCGAGGCCTCCTTTTACGGGATACTCAATGACAGGTGATCTCTGAATTGACCAGCTTCCTTCGATTCATTTGCTTATGCTCACCCTTTCATTTACGGAAACGTGTGCTGATGTTATTCGGATTTAGATCCATTCGTATCTCTTTGCCCTTGCCAACAGTGTGCGAAGAACGCGAGTTCACCTTCTTGACGGTAAGGCTTATGTTGCTGCTGAGGCTTAGATGTGTTGTCGAAATACTCATGTTCATTGTACATTGGTACGTTACAAGTAAGGCACTGGTCATGATTACTTCCGGCATTCCGTGCTCCGATCATAGGGTAGAATCTGAATTTTGCAGTGGCATAGCATCGTTGGCAGTTCCCAATCTGGAGGGAAAGGTTCAAGGACGCATTGGCCGAGTACTAGTGTGCAAAATATATTCGCATACTAGTATCAGGGAAAATCTCCATTATGGAGAGGTTCATGCATTCAGTGACTTGTTTGCTTCATACGAAACAAGCCAATGGGTGCAGTCTCGTCTCGTGAAAATCTCGTACGATCGGATTTGTTTACTCGAGTCTGGGCTGTTTGATTTGTGAGTAGCGCCGAGATTGCACTGCCCTAAATAAAGTTGCGTGCCGGTAGAGCAAGAATTACGATCTGCAATCTGTTTGTAGTACCTGCAAGAATGTGCTGTACATGTATCGTATTTTCTCTGTTGTTGTTTCAGTTGCCGTCATGTTGCTAAAGAAAGGTTCAGTGACTCATTTCTTTCATAAAAGACGAGTCAATGGTTTGGTCTGGCTTCGAATCTTTCGCTGTAGAAGAAATCTATTCGTGTCTCTATTGGAGAAATAATTGTATTCACTCGTTATAAAATAGGGTTAAGACAAACTCACAGAGCAAATGCCATCGGTCCTTTGATGTTCGTCCTAAAGAGGTTTGACTGGATATCATTCATACTCCCCCAAGGTCGTGTAACATATTATTATTATTATGGAGTGCCTTGTTTATCTCTCAGTACCTCCAACCATATATCCTTGCCCCTTATATCCTCAGGATCAGTGTAGTTGTTGGAACGAGGTGTCGGACTCAGCAATGTATTTGTTTACATTTTAATACATGTTTATTGTTCCTACTTTGCTGTGTTGGTTTAGACAATCGTGGACTTGTAACACTTTAAAGTCATTGAACTGCTTCCAAAAGTTTTATCGACATCAACAGGATTACGATTTCACTACAATATGATGCCGGATGACCTTTTCACGACAACCCATGACTACAATTATAAACACAGAATCAACAAAAACATCTGCGGCACGCACCTTGTTACAATTCTCAAGTAAATGTGATTTCGGGTGTGGACACCTGAATTTTCTGAAAGACAAGACAATTTTATGACAGAGTCATGAATTTCTTCAACATCCACAGAATGACCTGCGTATAAAAAAAGTATCACCGCCACTACCCATATGATTCCCCTGCAGAAGAACATGAATACATGTATGCAAGACTAGTTCCATTTTCTGCAAGAAAAGGCTTGCACATCAATGCGTATACTACGGTATTGAATTTGATATGATACACGTACATAGGGGCTCCCGTAAGAAGACCATAGTGTGGGAAACACCCTAGTAAAATAAAATAATAATAATAACATGTAGAGGCGCTACATGTAGGCCATCATTTATTTGGGCATTCCATTGGTGACACAATTATACCCTTTAGCCAAAAAAACAAAAGAAATTATAGCAATAAAAACTGCTTTATGGCAGTTTTCTAAAAAAAGTTATTGTGTTCTAGTCCATGGACTCCGTCTAAAAAGTAAGAAATTAACGAAATGTGATAGCCGAAAATTAAAATTTCACACAAAACCTCACAATAATCACACACAGAATGCGAGACGACCTTTTCCCCTCGTGGTCCTCTTTCATATGCATGTACTTGTACAAGTACAAGTGTCGGAATAAACAAGTGTTGAAAGCCGTACTATTAGATCTTCAAGTGTCGTGATTATTGTGAGGTTTTGTGTGAAATTTTAATTTTCGGCTATCACATTTCGTTAATTTCTTACTTTTTAGACGGAGTCCATGGACTAGAACACAATAACTTTTTTTAGAAAACTGCCATAAAGCAGTTTTTATTGCTATAATTTGTACTGTAACCAGGTGACTAGCATCAAAATCCGGTGCAGAACTGACACAGGGTCACTATGGTCACTGGGCCTGTGGGGTAGTACTAGTACAATCATGTGCACTGACTATGTAGTAGGTCTACTACTGGCAGTGCAGTATTCTACTTCATCAAATGAACAGGCGATAGCACCGCGCGCCATCATCGCCATGCCTTCTCGATCTCACCAGATCACGGGCCGGGAGTAGTAGATCTACTACTAGCTACTACTACTACTAGATCTACCCAAACAACAACAAAAAAACGACTCCCTGCACCAGACCGTGTAGATCTACCGTCTGTCCTACAAAATAAAATGGTCGGGTAGACTTTACCCCCGCTTGCTGTATGTATGTACTGGGCTCGCAATGACTCTATGAGGCTAGCTCGCATGGGCATGTGATCATGGTATGGTGATTGTGAGTGGGATAGGACTCATACTGTCATAGTCATACTATGAGTCAGAGGAGCTGCTCAGTACGCGCGTGTGGTGCTGCATACACCATGTGCACGGGATGGCCTTGGCCCAGGGCCTTGGGCTAGCCTTTACTCTAGAAGCTTGGCCTTGCCCTGGCCCCTGGCCTTGTCACTTGTGACGTTGTGTGCATAGACGATTACTAAGATTAGTGATCGATGAGTAGAAGTAGAATGATCTACGATCCGAATGTGCTTTCCTGCAAGTCGGAGCAAGCCAAATCTTCAAAATCATCATCCACTACTGCCAGTACTGGCACATGGTGGCAGCGAGTCGTGTTTCGAATATCTCCTGACACCGTGACCTATAATGGCGAGCTGCCGAGAGGAGCCCACTGACGACTTGATCGAAGTGTTCTGTAAGCAGAGCGTACGTCGCCTCCTGGTCAGGCGTTTGAGCCTCAAGGAGCTGCTGGTGGAGGTAGATGCTAGCGAACTCAGCGAAGCGGCTGCCGAGAAGCGAAAGCTTTTCCATAGCATTATACCAGAAGGTCATCTGGGTCCCCTGCAGAAGCTGGCTTCGGACGGTAACAAGTCGCCGGAGTGCGTGAACGATGAGTTTCTCGGCCTGATCAACAATCGCTCGCTAGGTGGTCGCAAGCTAAGCGACTTCGTGAAATGGCTGGACATCTTTCATCCGGAGATTTGCGCAGAGCTGCACCGAGCCTGCCCAGTAGCGCAGCACTCGCAGTGGTCGATCGGAGGTAAGGAATAGCCATACATGATGATCGGGTACATGTGAGCGGCGTCCGTAAATCACTTACCAGGATTTGCTCAGATTGTCAGAACGAACAATAGCTTGATTACTGTTTAGGGACAGGGTGTTGGGTTAGGTCAAGCTGGGGGAGTGTGATTGCGTTAGAAGTGCGTGCAAAAATCGATGATTTATAATGCTATTATCGATTTACGATATCAATGCCTCCCATGCCCATCTATGAAGATTTGTGATAATAATTATACGCATTAAAAAACTGATCGCTGAGGAAGGCAGCACTGCAGCTCTTGCTCTCACACCCACTGATCCATAAATTTGAACTTCAATGAATCCAGGGGTGAAAAGGCATACACTGACACAGTGCTGCCGTGCGCCGAAGAACGGAGCGCCGAAGAACAAACAGGCTAGAATTTCACCAAGCACAGCATACCAATGTATACACGGTGACTCACCTATGCATAGACTGTAATACATGAATGTAAAAACGGTCTAGGCTAGGCGGCTGACCCCCTAGTTCTTGGGCAACCGGCAGTACTGTGGCCAAACCTATTTTCTCTACAAAATTTAGCTAGCAACTACCAAGTAAGTTACAGCGTGCATCTACTGAAAGAAATTGTTAACAGCTAGCAAGACCCCAAGATTAGCTATCCAACGGAAAAGGCATGTTACATGATCGAGGCAAAGAAAAAGGAAGTGCTGTAGCGTCAAACTGACATCGACAGTTTGAAGTGGGACATTCTCCAGCCTGATCAAGCAAGTCCACTGGTCGCTTGCTACTGACGAGAGGGAACTCAACCATTGTCCTCTGCTGAGGCTCTGGGGTGTTTAGATCGTGGGGTGTGTTGTCTCCAGTCGACAATAGTCACAATACGCATTGCGCAGGCCATCAGCCGCAAGCTCCAGCGAAGTCTTGCTGTGCCAACCATTGCTAGTGTGCGGGTGGGTGTGGGTGGGTGGGGGGTGCGCATGTGAGTGAGGGGGGGGGGGGGGGGGAGGTGAGGGTGTGCGTGTGCGCGCGCGCGCGTGTGTGTGTGCATTGCTCCCGCCATCGGCAGCACGCACCAGCAAAGTCTTGGTGCCAAACATTACCATTGTGTGCAGAAAGAAAAGAACAAGCATTGATATCATAATCCTCATGAACATACATCCTTTGTTGAACTGTAAGAATCCCCTTGGTCAACACATACAGCAAGGGTGAGGTGGGTCGGGGAAGACATGAAACGACGAGGGGAGAGACTGAGCTAGATGATCGACTACAGTCATTGTGAAACAAGAATGTGAAAGAGAGAATGTGACTGCATGTGCGTGCGTGAGAGAGATAGAGAGAGAGAGAGAGAGAGAGAGAGAGAGAGAGAGAGAGAAAGAGAGAGAGAGAGAGAGAGATAGATAGAGAGATAGATAGATAGATAGATAGAGAGAGAGAGAGAGAGAGAGAAATTGCCAGTTGCCCTGGTAATCGGTCTCTGGGATTTCACATTTTTTTGTTGAATTTTGTGATTCGCTTGTTCTGACTTATATTACTGTGTACCCGTAGTATCAACAAGCACTCCGCTGTACAGTCTGAATGATAGCCCGACGATGTGCGAACGCTGCGTGGACGTGCTGAGCCCACTGCTGGACGAGAGCGGCGACTGGGCGAAGCTCTACGACGCCCTGTCGCACCACCCCAAGGCAAAGCCGTTCTTCACGCAGGCCCAGCGGGCGGCCGTGGCCCAATGCGCCGATGGCGGCGGTGCAGGCGGAGGTGGCAAGCAGACCGAGGTGATCCTGAGCGCGTGGTGCCGCCTGCTGCCCCTCCGCGAGGCCACGCTCTCGCAGCTGATACGTCTGCTGCACGGAGAGCGTTGCTTCAAGGCTGTCTGTGCGCTGGCTGATAGGCTAAAGCTGAAGGTGAGACACCGGCAACTGTGTGCTGAGGAGAATATCAAAAGTTTAGGAGATTATCAATTGACTCAGAGTGTGCATCCGAGATGTGCTAGAGCTGATAGCCAGTTAATTGTAGAACGTCAGTACCGTTCGGCAGCGTAGTGCAATGTTATCGCATGAGCTGATTGTTCAGTAACTGGTGGTGTTAGTGGACATTTTAGCGTGACTTGTAGTTCCTTGGTCCTTTTCTTTTCTATAGGTTATCAATGAAGATGTGTATGGTGTATGGTGTATGAATAAATTCGACGGGTTCGCGTACCGGGCAGGTCAAGAACAAGGAGTCGTACAACTCCCTGGTCAAGAACCACCTTTTCTGCTTCCGTGGGACGCCACCACCCTATGATCAGGCGTCAGATGCGGCTCCTAAACGGTGGGGGAGGATAGATCAGATCCACCAACCAGAGGCCAAAGGCCTCGATCCCATTTGCCACATCTATGTATTGCTCATGCCAGGCCACGAGTTCCCAATTAACTGTGGGTCGAAGCACGGTTGGAAAAATCCTTCTGCTTCCAAGCAGGACTTGAACCTGGTACCTCTCGTTTCTCAATCATGGTCTCAGGCCAACCCACTGTGCCTGCCTGTATGGTGTATGGTGTACCCTAAGTCATGAACTATGCGGCGCATATATATTTTCGGCTATTTTCGACCTGGGCATTTCTGTCAATTTGTTGCAGGCGAAATTTTGTTTTGCAAGATTCAGTGTGACAGTGTATACAGACAGTAGCAGCAGTACAGGCCGACAATTTTTTAATGCGGCCGAAATGTGTTTTGGCCCTGGGAGGCCGAATTGTATACGTGCCGACAATGTGTAGACTTACAGTATTGTGTATGGCGTAGTACAATTTTGGCCAAAGAAATCTGACCCACGTGCCGAAAGCAGCACCAAGGCTCACGCGGCCCCTGTGGCCTGCGGATGGGCTTTTGGACCGTGCATGATGTAATTGAAATGGAAACGCGGCGCTGCTTTTGACCCGCGGGTCGGATTTCCGTGGCCACGACTGTACGTAGTTTGTGGTGTGTTTCTGATATGCGTTGTTCCGTGCATCTCTGAACGCATGGATTGGGCCTTTATGGGGACGTAAGACTAAATCACCCTGCAACATCGGGGTTTGGATTTTTCTTTTGGTCTAAATGTGCTTGAAAGCACGCCTGGATCAGGCTGTAGGCAAGTCTGAATCAGGTTGTAAGCACATCTGAATCAGGCTGTAAGCAAAAACGTATCCGTTGCTACCCGGAGTTTCATCCTCTCAAAATAGCAATCAAGGCAACATAACAATCTGAAGCAGGGCTGTACGGACAAAATATACCCAGCCACACAGCAAGGGGCACAAAAGAAAGAAAGCGTGAAGTGTGTAGGCGAGATTTAGCAGATAGAAGCGGCGTGAAAAAGTCCATTAGATAAGATCTACATCGAGATGGGCGTGAGTGCACAAATTCCGGGCATAACAGGGTAGGATGGAGGGGTGAGTTCCATGCATGCATGTCCTGCTCACACATGCCAGCGGTCACACCTTACTATTTTACGCTATGGCGGTGAAGTTAACGAGTTGTTTTTTTTTATTATTTTTATTATAGTGTCGGCGTGGAGAAAGCAATTTTATTAGTGCAATTAGGAGTATAATCGATGCAGACATGGCCAGACAACAACGAGTTCATGGAATTTTTAAGGATTTTTATGTTATTCAAAATCGATTTTCGTGTTCCGCTCATCAGTGAATAGTATCGGAACTGAGGGTACTGTGTACAACAATAGAACATTTTATAACAGCATAATTAATTAAAAGTGTGAACAACAAAGGAAGTGCTACAGCATTACATAATAGGTGTCAAACATAGTGCTAACGTATATAACTGAGTGCAGCCACAAAGCAATAGGTGATACAGTGCAACATGACACAACATTTACATCTGATAACCAGCTACGAGAACAACTTTAGCGCGACTACATGCTTCTTTTGTTTACACCTACTGAGCCTACTCTAGCACAACATCATCGTCCTGGAATGGAGGAGGGGCCACCGAGACACACTGAACCTTCACCTCGGCAGTTGCCCTTGCCTCCGCCTGAGCCACCCCCTTTACCTTTGGTGACTACCGAGACGGTGGTCCCCCCGGTGCTGGGATCCACGGTACCGACTGTGTCTGGACAGAGAGGGAGATCATCGACAAACCAAAATGAAACCAATATCCTCACCCATAGACCCAGAAGAAGCACAGCAAACTATTCACTTGAAATTTATGCACGGAATGGACTTGGCCCACGCAAAATGGACAGTGGAAATGGGTGTGCAGTAGCAGAGAACCCAGCAACGGTGACGCGGAGCAGCGGTCAAACGACTTGTGATGCTGTTGGAGATGATGGAGCCATGTTGGAGGCTGATAAGGAGTGCAGTGAGACTGAGCATCAAACGGATGATGAGGAAGTGACCGATGATGATGATGGTGGTGATGAGGACGATGATGATGAAGATGAGACGGAGGACGAGGATAAGGCGGAGGAGGTCGAAGGAAAGGAGCGGGATGAGACGGAAGAGAGCGACGTGAGCAAAAAGTCAGCTGTATTTTGTCACTTGTTATCACGTCCAGATTGTCTTGGTGTGTACGATGATTCTCACTTTTCTGTTTTGTGCCGTGCAAGTTATGTTAAGCAGTTGAAGGTTCTGGAAGCTGTATGTATTCGTGTGCATAATCCTGTTCTTTGTAAACAAAAGAAGCATGTAGTCGCGCTAAAGTTGTTCTCGTAGCTGGTTATCAGATGTAAATGTTGTGTCATGTTGCACTGTATCACCTATTGCTTTGTGGCTGCACTCAGTTATATACGTTAGCACTATGTTTGACACCTATTATGTAATGCTGTAGCACTTCCTTTGTTGTTCACACTTTTAATTAATTATGCTGTTATAAAATGTTCTATTGTTGTACACAGTACCCTCAGTTCCGATACTATTCACTGATGAGCGGAACACGAAAATCGATTTTGAATAACATAAAAATCCTTAAAAATTCCATGAACTCGTTGTTGTCTGGCCATGTCTGCATCGATTATACTCCTAATTTTATTATAGTATTATTTATTAATTAATTTATTATTTATTTATTTTGTAATTTATTAACAAATATTATTTTGAAACTCGGGTATCGGGTAGGACGTCGAATGTCTCAGTACTCTGTCAGTTTTGTGCCTAGTTGTTGCACTTTCTGACTGTATATAGTATCTAGTTACAGTGGTGGAGAGTTACTCTTAACTCGTTTCCATAATGTCCTTTTCCTTTCTACTTTTAAATATTATTTTTATTTTTTTAAGTTTCTTGTTACAGTGTAGACACTTACCGACGATCTCGCTTCTCTTATTCAACAGCTTCTCTTTGTCAGTGGTGATTATTCTGGTCTTTTCGGTGATGCAGAGGTTGCACCTCTTTGTTGCGCTGCTGTACGATCTGGCCTTGTCCCTGATATCCCAGGTCAGTGTGTACTCCTGGCTGTCGCTCTGCCGCTTCCACAGGTGCTTTGACGGCTCAGCGCTTTCTTTGGTACTTTGGGTGTCTGAACGACATCGTACTCCTGGCTGTCGCTCCGCCGCTTCCACTAACTTATAATAATATATGCCGGTGATATTTGCTGCAATTGTTCAGCGGGCACGTTAGGAGCATGTGCCCATACACGCTATACAGGGAGAATAGATGAAGTACAGACCGATAAGCGAAAGTTTCACACAGAAAGCTTCAAGCAAAGAGACGGACTATCTCACACATATACATCTACTTCTTCAGGATACCCTTGATGAGCTTAGCCTGGGAGGACATGATTGCCTTTTATATTGTCAGTGAGAAAAGTTTGTTGATTCTCGTGCAACTTGGCAGTAGCATCGACCAGCTGCATTTGCAGCATGGTGGAGTGCTTCTCCGTACTCTCCGCCATCTCCCTGTCGTGCTGCATTGTCCTCTCAGCACGCTGGTGAGCAGCTTCCTCCTCGGCCTTGGACATACTAGTGTAGACATTCAGGAACTTGTCCATGACAGACCCTTGCCTCGACTTGGCACTCGCACCCCTGGCTGTGCAGGGACTGCTACTTGCTGGCGCGTCATCAGGTGTCTTAAGAGCTCGCTTTGCTGGCGGACGAGCAAGTGGCATCGCTGGTTGCATGGTGCCTACTGGAATGTGGTCACTGTTACTCTCAGATGATGACGACGACACCCGGTTGTCAATCAGAGATGTTGCTCTTGCGGTTGCAACCCCTGGCTTTGTGCATGCTGGGGCAGTAGCAATAGCTACCACAGGTCCTGTTATTGCTGTTGCTGCCAAAGCTGCAGGTGCCTGCCAATGGCACTTGCATGTGTTGCTGCCACCTCCACGTGGCGCATGAAAATGAACGCGAACTATTATTCCACGATTTGCACGGGACGAAGACAAACGTGAATCATACCTTCAAATACTCTATCTTGTTTCTGAGCTTCTTGTCCGTCAGCTCCACCAGCCAATGCGGCACCTCCCGTCCGCCTTCTCCAGCACATTTCTTCAACTCCTCCAAGATCCACGCTCTCTTTTTGATATTCTTCTTCATAGTCAAAACCTGGTGTGTTTGCCTCAAACCAAAGCTCCAGAAGTCGCCGCTCCGGTACTACTGTCCAGAACTCCATGACGACAGACAACAGGCAAGGAGAAAAGTTGGACCAACAACGAAACCCACGAACACGATGGCAAGATGCGCCTTGGATTTGCACTAGTTTACTTTTTCCCGTCCGTGGCTGAGTGGCTGAATCCATTCAGCGCTTTGAAAACGGCTGACTGCTGAGAACGGCTGAAGCCCAAAATCCAGCCGTCTCTGTAGCAACGATGACGTCGAAAAGTGCTTTTCCGCTGAATGGTTGAATCGCGCTTTGTGTGATCGTGGCCTAAGCAAGTCTGAATCAGGCTGTAAGCAAGTCTGAATCAGGCTGTAAGCAAGTCTGAATCAGGCTGTAAGCAAGTCCGAATCAGGCTGTAAGCAAGTCTGAATCAGGCTGTAAGCAAGTCTGAATCAGGCTGTAAGCAAGTCTGAATCAGGTTGCCAGTGTTAGGTCTATAGTAGTTAGAAGTGGAAGAGAGTGGTTGTGGGGAGGAGCGCATATAGGAAGACACGGGGGGCCGTCCATTATTTTTGCGTATGGTTGGGCCGAGGACAGTTTTGGTTTTGAAAAATATCGATAGGTGAAACTACAATTTATTCTACATGTACATGTCACTGTCGATTCAATATGTCATTGAGGGGGGGGGGGGGAGAGAGAGAGAGAGAGAGAGAGAGAGAGAGAGAGAGAGAGAGAGAGAGAGAGAGAGAGAGAGAGAGAGAGAGAGAGAGAGAGAGAGAGAGAGAGAGAGAGAGAGAGAGAAAGAGAGAGAGTCAGAACTGAACTGTTTAGTTCCGTGAAAACGATCCATAATGGCGGATGGCGCGTTTGGCCGTGTTATCTGATGGCTGCGTAAGCATGCAACTCCGAGCGGTGACAAACTAGCCTGCCCTGCCCGGGTTGTTCTGTGTACAATGGTGAATGGCACGAACAACCTGTAATTGATTGTGATCACTGATTTCCCCTTTTTTTCTTTCTTATGTGCACAGGGGGAGTCGCGTGGCGTGCGCGAGATGATCGTCGAGGCAGCGGACCGCTGCGGTGTGGGTCTCCCAAACGGACACACACCCGACGGCTCGTTCTCGCCGGAGAAGGAGAGCTGCGGTCGCCGGGACACCGCGTGGGGGGACATGGCGGTGGTGGACATTGAGGGCGAGTTCGACGACGAGCGCTTCCGACCGCTAATCACCGCGTTGGATAATACAAACGTCGACGCTGTAACGAGTGCCACACATCTCTACAAGCATCTGCGCAGCACGGAGCAGATCGAGCAGAAGAGCCGGCTGGAGCCTGTAGTTCGGCCCGGTCAGGCTAAGAGGGTGCTCGCCGGCTGGCTGTGGAAGGACGATGCGCTGAAACTGTGCGACATCCGCGCTACGCTGCAGGCGTGTGGGCTGACGGAAGCAGTGACTGCGTTGGCGAATGCGTTTGCAAACACCACTGTAGTATCGTTGGAAACGTCGCCAGTGCAGGCTACTCTGCAGCCGACAGCACCAAGTGCCTTTGACTTTGACAGCATCCAGCACCACTCTGAATCTAGCATCATCATGGATGAGCAAGGGTAGAAATGGTGCGGCCGGCGGATATGCCTATTGTGTGTGTGTGCGCGTGTGTGTGTGTCACGGTGTGTGTGTGTGTGTGTGTGTGTGTGTGTGTGTGTGTGTGTGTGCGTCTGTGTGTGTGTGTGTGTGTGTGTGTGTGTGTGCGTGTGCTTTCCCGTACACATGTGCACGTACGTCTGTACTTTTGTGAACTTGACCAGCCGCACTTGTGCAAGCGTTTGAGTAGGCAAGGGCAAACTTCGAATTCACTTCTTTTCATGAAATGCGGTGATGCTTCATCTTTGGAACATACGTGTATCACCCACTTCTTTTATACCAGTATTAAAGCTTCTGATTTGTTGACTGCTTTTCTCCCAGTACACAGAGAGCGTAACTAGCGTTTTCTGTGCATACCGGCTCACAGATTTTATAGTATTTTCATGGCTTTTGGTTAGTTTCGGAATGCGGACAGTGTTTTTCCCTCCCTCTTGTATTAGACTGCCTGCCTTTAGCGCGTGTGCACAGTTTCTTGAGAAAAAACAGAAACGATTCTACCAGACACTGACTGACTGAGCCAATGTTTAACGTTTACAATGTAAAACTCAATAGAATCGGTTTTGTGCCCTGTTATCTCACTTTTTGACTGCTAATAATTGTCTTGTTACAGACGTGGGCAGTCGCTTCATAACTCGTTCCCACGATTTTTCTCCTATTTTACACATCGATTATATCGCATTACGTTTTTCTACTATCCAGCACCCTCGAATTTATGAATACTTTTCTACATCGTGCATTTACCGAGAAGAGATTCTATTGTGTATTTGGCTGGGCAGCACGATACATGTTGCGAGTGTGTTCCCACCTGCCGATCATGCCTGTATATGGATGTGTGTTTGCGGTACGCTTTCCGACTGTTCTCGTCAGTCGTCGCTGCGGCATTTCCGCAAGTTTTTTTTGTCTCTATTGAAAGTCTATTCCAGGGTTTCTGTGCTGCGTAAGACGCACAGCAATTGCATCTGCCTAGCTCGTGTGCTGGTTTTCTCTCATCAAGACCTGCCCGACCTACCATGCTACCCCTCTGGCCGGGTGGTGATATCTGAGCCGGGAGCACATGTAGTTCTGTGACAAAGTTTAGTTGTTGTTGTTTATTTTACTTCACCAAATGAACAGGCAGAGACACCTTCTCACCTGCCCATAGGACAGGTTCTCACAGAATGATGAAGGAATGATATGCAAGGGAAAACAAGAAATGATAATAATATAAGACAGAAAGGACCAAAAGAAGAAAAGGAAAAAATTATAAGAAGACAATTTCATGGAGTCAGAAATAGGAAGACAATAATTTCATAGTTGGCACATCCATGTTACATGTACCATCGGATACAGTCACACATACAATGTTGTGGTGGTCAGATTTTTAAAAAAAGCCAGTGCTGTGATACCGAGACACCTGTCGGCTGAGCAATTTGTACCCATCACCACTCCTATATATAGTATAGGCGCTTCAATGTCCTCTGTATCGTCTTCCTTGTGATTTTTGGACGGTTGTGGAATTACTTGTAGTAAAAAAGAAAGAAAAACACCCTGGGGGGGGGGGGGGGATATTTTAGTCTTGATGGTCCGGATCTTCGCGTGTAAGCAGGGGCGTAGATCTACGCAGGATCCAGAATGAGGGGGGTGCTCCAACCTTTTCCCAAAGAACCGAATAATGAATGCATTATGTATCTAATATCAACTGAGTACGAGGTCTTTTATTTCCTATCCTGACCAAGTACGAAGTCAATATTAGATTTATCACGACAAACAATCCGTATTTCAAATTCCAGAACGATAACCTCATTAATCCCGGTTTTATGATTGCACAACCGTTGCACCACCACCTACTCATGCAGTGACAATGCTGCACTAGTATAGGCCCGTTCAACTGAGCAACCCCTAAAGGAGTCAAATATAAGCAGTCAATATACATGTAGCCCTAAGGAGTGAAATATGCAGGAATATTTGACTGCTTGGGTATGGTGAAAATCAATGGGAGTCAATACTAAGACTGAGTAAGAGAGTGATGATCCCCTGTATCAGTGTATGTAAGGCATGGATGGTTGATATCTTGATTTTTAGTGCGCTATTAGTATTTACCATGATTTACCAAGCCGAGGGAAAATATAGGACCTACATATGTCATTATAGCAATAAAAACTGCTTTATGGCAGTTTTCTAAAAAAAGTTATTGTGTTCTAGTCCATGGACCTCGTCTAAAAAGTAAGAAATTAACGAAATGTGATAGCCGAAAATTAAAATTTCACACAAAACCTCACAATAATCACGACACTTGAAGATCTAATAGTACGGCTTACAACACTTGTTTATTCCGACACTTGTACTTATACAAGTACATGTACTGCGCCAACATGCTTGCATATGAAAGAGGACCACGAGGGGAAAAGGTCGTCTCGCATCCTGTGTGTGATTATTGTGAGGTTTTGTGTGAAATTTTAATTTTCGGCTATCACATTTCGTTAATTTCTTACTTTTTAGACGAGGTCCATGGACTAGAACACAATAACTTTTTTTAGAAAACTGCCATAAAGCAGTTTTTATTGCTATAATTTCTTTTGTTTTTTGGCTAAAGGATATAATCAAGAGTCCATAAACATTTGTTTATGCACTCTTGATATAATTGTGTAACCAATGGAATGCCCTAATGATGGCCTACATGTAGCGCCTCTGCATGTTATTATTATTATTTTATTTATTTTACTAGGGTGTTTCCCACAGACCTATGTTCTTCTTACGGGAGCGACTATGTGTATCATATCAAATTCAATACCGTATTATACGCATTGATGTGCAAGCCTTTTCTTGCAGAAAATGGAACTAGTCTTGCATACATGTATTCATGTTCTTCTGCAGGGGAATCATATGGGTCGTGGCGGTGATACTTTTTTATACGCAAGTCATTCTGTGGATGTTGCAGAATTTCATGACTGTCATAAAATTGTCTTGTCTTTCAGAAAATTCAGATGTCCACACCCTAAATCACATTTACTTGAGATTTGTAACCAGGTGTGTGCAGCAGATGTTTTTGTTGATTCTGTGTTTATAATTGTAGTCATGGGTTGTCGTGATAAGGTCATCCGGCATCATATTGTAGTGAAATCGTAATCCTGTTGATGTCGATAAAACCTTTGGAAGCAGTTCAGTGACTTCAAAGTGTCCACGATTGTCTAAAACAACACAGCAAAGTAGGAACAATAAACATGCATTAAAATGTAAACAAATACATCGCTGAGTCCGACACCTCGTTCCAACAACTACACTGATCCTGAGGATATAAGGGGCAAGGATTATGGTTTTAGGTACTGAGAGAAACAAGGCACTCCATAATAGTAAAATGTTACACGACTTCGGGGGAGTATGAATGATATCCAGTCAAACCTCTTTAGGACGAACATCAAGGGACCGATGGCATTTGCTCTGTGAGTTTGTGTTAACCCTATTTTATAACGAGTGAATACAATTATTTCTCCAATAGAGACACGAATAGATTTCTTCTACAGCGAAAGATTCTAAGCCAGACCAAGCCATTGACTCGTCTTTTATGAAACAAATGAGTCACTGAACCTTTCTTTAGCAACATGACGGCAACTGAAACAACAACAGAGAAAATACGATACATGTATAGCACATTCTTGCAGGTACTACAAACAGATTGCAGATCGTAATTCTTGCTCTACCGGCACGCAACTTTATTTGGGGCAGTGCAATCTCGGCGCTATTCACAAATCAAACAGCCCAGACTCGAGTAAACAAATCCAATCGTACGAGATTTTCACGAGACGAGACTGTACCCATTGGCTTGTTTCGTATGAAGCAAACAAGTCACTGAATGCATGAACCTCTCCATAATGGAGATTTTCCCTGATATGCGAATTTATTTTGCATAGTACTCGACCAATGCGTCTTTGAACCTTTCCCTCCAGATTGGGAACTGCAAACGATGCTATGCCACTGCAAAATTCAGATTCTACCCTATGATCGGGGCACGGAAATTCCCGAATGCCGGAAGCAATCATGACCAGTGCCTTCCTTGTAACGTACCAATGAACAATGAACATGAGTATTTCGACAACACATCTATTTAAAGCCTCAGCAGCAACATAAGCCTTACCGTCCAGAAGGTGAACTCGCGTTCTTCGCACACTGTTGGCAAGGGCAAAGAGAAACGAATGGATCTAAATCCGAATAAAATCAGCACACGTTTCCGTAAATGAAAGGGTGAGCATAAGCAAATGAATCGAAGGAAGCTGGTCAACTCAGAGATCACCTGTCATTGAGTATTCCGTAAAAGGAGGCCTCGACAGCAGAAAAGCTAAATTTAGAAAAGAGATCCTGTCAGCTTTTCCATTATTAATTTTATTGTATTCCACCTAAAAATCAGCACACTTTTCGTGAATGAAAGAGTCAACACAAGCAAATGAATCAAAGGGAACTGGTCAACTCACCTGTCATTGAGTAATATTCCGTGAAAAGAGGTCTCAGCAGAGCCGAAGCGAAATAAGCCAGGACACGAAATATCCGAAACAGCTCATGCAAGAAGCAGTTCCAAAGAAGGAAGTTCCTCGCGCATGCACATCCGAAAATGGACTGCACTGCATGCAACACAATGTCTGCGCTGCCGTGCACAGCACGCGGCTACCACGCGTTAGTAGATCTAATACCGAGCACCTTACGTAGAAACTTACGTAGCCTAAGTGAAGTACCGAGGACCTTACGTAGAAACTTACGTAGCATAGCGGTGTCGTTTTTTCTGCCATGTGAACACAATAATAGAAAAGCTGACAGGATCGCTTTTCTAAATGACGTACTGTAATACACAGTGTACATCCATAGGGCTTGAAAGTGATGACGTCAAAAACGGCCAGGGAGTACTAAGTTGACATCAGATTTCTATTTTGGATCCACTAAGGTGTGACTTTGCTATTGCCTCAGTATGTGGGTGCATAGCAACCCACTCATGTCGTATGCAGGGGTGACTTTTACTTCGCCACCAGTTGTAACCCCGCCCCCAGTAGCCAAATCAGTCAGTTTCACTGGTAACATCACCTTGCCGAGAGTAAGACTTGAAATGTGCTTGGATCCATACAAAAACTGGATCCAAGGGGATCCAATTTTTGAATTTTTGAAATTGTTGCTATGCTGTGACGTAGCACTTTCAAGCCCTATTGCCCAATGATGGCGTGAAATGCATGCATAATAGTACATTAAAATTAATGTAGGTACAAAATCATTGTACATGCAGGGGTAGCCATTGGCGGACTATGCTCGGCCAATCGTCAAATTATGCTTTTGATTATGCCACAATTATGCCAACAAATATGCTGAATTATGCTCTGTTCCACTATGTATTCACGCTGTACATAGAGGATTTAGAAGCCACGCATACACACACGACCATGCCCTAAGCATAATTTTTGTCTAAACCGAAAGATTATGCCGACCTTACACGTTGGAATCCGTATAATTATTATGCAGGAGCATAATTTTTTGACGAAATCCCAAGATTATGCCAAATATTATGCCGGCATAATCCGCCAAGGGCTATGCAGGGGTGAAACGTGGGTATTATGTAAAAGTACATGATTGTACACACAAGGGACCCGGTTGGATCGTCAGATTCGTCACCGAGGAAACATGTCCGCTGCTACTCTGAGTTTCATGCCCATCATAGTCAATCTCCAGGCAATATTCATGTAACTACATTGTACATTAGACATTGTACATGTATCTGAAACGGGACAATCATGCAGATCACTTCAAAATGTACCCACACCCCACACTGCACAGCAAGCACTTTGCGGATTGTGCGGGGAGAAAAATTGGCAGAATTTCGTACTTTTTCTGGTAAGTTTCATACATGTACAGTCATGGTATTATAACCCAATACTAGTTCAAAACTACTACTGTAAAAGCCATAATTATATATATAACGAAGTGCTAACTCTAACGAGTTAACGAGGGGAAATCTGTCGTTAAAATAGAAATCGTTATACAGAAATCGATACATATACTGTCCTATTGAGCGTAGAGAATGAGTGAGAATCGTTACCTTTGGTACATGTAAACTAGTCAATTTTGGAAAATCGTTACTGTATATGCGCCTCGTTAGAATAATGGCTTTTACAGTATTAGATAAACCTTCTTATAGTTCACACATATGGTTAAATTGACAGCATGAAACAAGGTGGAGGACACTGTGTTCGGAAACAGTGACCTCACTACAACCTTCCAACGGACCGGGGCTCTGCCAACCGCGGAAGGTTGTAGTAAGGTCACTGTTTCCGAGCACAGTGTCCTCCACCTTGTTTCATGCTGTCAATCTAACAATATGTACAGTCATGTAACATTGCTACACGTCCATGTATGGTGATCTATTTTCATGCAGTCCACCAACAACACGTCATGTATGTATATGGAAAAAGACTCTTGGACAGCCTGGAACCTCTCTGTTTTATATGGAAAAAGAAATGGAGCAGAAATGGAGCAGAATTTAAGGAAGTACCTGCCATTAGCTTTTTCGACCAGAATCTGCCAATATATCGAGCATTATACGCCAATGCCTGGGTAGTGCTCTGTCCCAACTCCTAACCTGCGCGGATTGGTGGAGCGTTACTGCTATTATAGAAGCCTTGCTTGATAGTTTGACAGATTTTCGATTTCGGCAGCATGTTAAAAAGCGAGTACGCTGAAAGTTATGGCTGCTGTCAGGAGCACTGTGCGTCCTCGCCTTGTAACCATGGTAACATGCTGTCGAAATCCAACACAGCAGTGTTACTGTAGTACAGACAGTGAATTATTACACCCCGACCACCCCAACGAACTACTTCCCTGCCCCTCGGCTGCATGCTGTGATGTTTCCACTCTAGCTCTCGCTCAAGATCAAAGCACCCTTCTGTGAGTGTGACGCCTCGCGCCTTGAGTACGTCCATTGTAGCTTTGGCGGCTCACACGGCTCATTGGCGCATTTTAGTGTGCCAGCGTCCAGGTTTCCCTCCTCCTTCTTTCTCTGTGTGACTCTATCTCTTTCCTTCTCAGTCACGTGCACGTACATGACAATCCACTGCTCTTGTGTCCCATGCATGGTGAAGATCCACAGGCAGGGGTTTTAGATCTACTAGCTAAACTAAGCAGGCGTTTGTAAGCCTGTTACTGTAGTCTGTAGTGTTAGTGTTACACTTACAGTGGAATACTCAGCCGAATAGTCACAGGTGTGAAGTCGACCACTGAGGTCAGTGAGGTAACGACACACAATCAAATCATGACACTCGCTCAAGTCTAGACGTGTACTGTAGATCTACTGTTCGATAGTCCACCACAAAGAGCGAACTGGCACACGTACACAACTAGTGACAACACTCAACACAGCGATCAACGCGGGTAGAGCGTCTCATCTACTGACAGACTACGATGGTAGATCATGGGCCGGGGGCCTGGGGGGATGGGAGACCCCGTGACAGAGACTGAGTGTACACCTAGTAGATCTACCTGGCACACGTACCTGGGTAACAACGTGTGAAAGGCACGGAGCTAGCTGGGTGAGGTCCAACGAAAACAGACGGTGCTATATTTATATAATACAGGGAGAAGTGGTCCCGTCCACCGTAAAGAGGGCTCAACAGCGCTATAATTATATATTTCGTAAGTCTACAGCCAGGACCGGCGATAGTCGTCATTCTACATCAGTTCTGGTCATGACGCGACTATAGCCTACGACAAAAAACGGGGCTATGACATAGGTGCCCCAGATTCAGTGGTAATGGCCTGATTTGAAAACTCGAGGAGAAATCTCTATCACATCGTTCGTATCGTTCGGGCGCCTTGAAGCTGCGTGGAAGCGAAGAATAATGGAGCGGACAAAGCTGCATCCTACACTTCAAGTTCAAAGCTGGCAACGTGTTAGTTCGTCGGGATGGAAGCGAAGCAAATATCAAGCTTCACTGGCTATGTTAGATGCGCTCCCATACTATCGAAATTGTTCAGCGCTAAATCATGACACCTGGTGTTGCAGCGGAAAAAGTACTTTTCGCCCTACGACCTACTGCAGTACTCAGTACCGAACAGTCGCCTCGGAATCGCCACCAGGAAAAGAGAGACGGGAAGAACATCCGAGAAACCCTGTCGTGTTCGTAATGCATGCCGACGAGGCTCGGTGGCTGAAACATCGTGTGCGTCGCCATTCCTGCAGGAGGTCATAGCGTCGAGGACGTTTGTGGTGGCCGAGCGGCTGTTTGGGAATGTTGACAGAGAGCTAATAGCTTCCGGCGGTCTTGAACTGTGAGGGAAACGTGCTGAGCAACATGCCGAGTGTCGGGTGGTACATGGCCATTGTCGGTCTCAGTGTCGCTGTAAACAGTATCCTACTTGCCGGCGAAGAAGGTGAGCAAACAGAGGATTGTGTTCCTGCGTTCGTGAATACAGAGTAACGTAACTGTGGTTGGTGCACCTATAATTGTAGGCCCTTACGTTGCGAATATACAATGTTGTCAAGAGCCTTCTTCATCAAAACGAACGAAGGTGTCGAAGGATTCTTTTACCAGTTCACAGTTCCTCTTGAAGCACACTCTGTGCATGTGCCCTACAAAGTTCATGACTGTGTACATATTTGCTGTGCAGTCACCACAATTGGCACGCCCATAGCTTTAAGTTTTGCACTGCGCAGTTTGCACCCCAAACTGCCCAAGACTACTTCTGCACACCGTGGCCGTGAATGGCCACGCTCAAGCGCAGTCCTTGGCCTACTATGCACTTGAAATGGCACCTACGGGAGCCAAGTGGACACAAAACTAAACTAAGTCGACTGTACAAACAGGGCAGTAGAGTCGCGCGCTGAAGAACGGCGGAAATTATTGTTGAGGTCACCTTTTTCAGAAGCACGCGCATTTTGCCGCAGAGCAGTGTGAGAGCACGCGCTGGGCACCGGCCTTGTAATGTAAAGCCCAGCCAAGTGCGCGAGGCAAAACTTCCCAAAAGAGTCGCAGCGCGTGGGTCGTAGAAAAGATTACGTCACAATAATTTCCGCCGTTGGTCAACCCATTCGGGAGTTGCACATTCTTGTTTATCTACTCTTGATGTTATGCACCTCACCCTATGTATGGCAACCAACTACAGGCCACTCCGCTTTAAAAAGCGGACTTGCATAGCGAATTTCGTGATGTAGCAAACCATTGTCCATGTCCCTGTTTGAGCCAATACGATATTGACCCTTCGCAGTGAACCGCCTTCGTGTATGACTATCCAGTTCTTGTTGGGCTGCACGTTAGTGCACTCATACAGACATGTTGTAGTCATAATGATCCTGTTGCCTGGATTGTGGGTGAAAATGCTAACTGTGCACTGGTGCCTAATTTCTTATGCCTTCAGTTCTGAAATGGGTTTTGCAGATGACGCACTCTTCATGCACAGGCCATTCTTGCCATGTAAGATGTCCTCACGACGTGTTATTACGTATTGATACTGGTGTACACTTGCCGTGTGTGTGTGTGTGTGTGTGTGTGTGTGTGTGTGTGTGTGTGTATGTGTGTGTGTGTCTTTATATGCATACGGGTGTGTACATGTACATATATGTGCATGCCTCTGTGTGCTCGCCGTCTTGCCTGCAGTTCCAGGTGGCAACGAGGGGAAAGCCCCAAAACAGAAAGGCGTCATCGCCACCCTAGAACTAGTTGAATATGCTGATAACCATGGAAACTACTGGACCAGCCAAAACGACGCGGGGAACAGTCCAGCACCCGACTTTGTTCCCCGTTTTGATCCGATGCCTGTTGTGATGGCAACCGAGGATCCTCTCCCTGCAACGTCAACTCGGCCGCAGGCATCGATGAACATAGATAGTCCGGACACGAGGGAAGAGCAGGCCAGTGGGTCGGCTGACGTTGTAATCCCAGTGCACAAGGCATTCGGCTGGTACTACGCGCCGTGTCCCGTAGCGGACACCAAGGAAACGAATGGTGCCGACACGCACTCGGCCAGTGACAGCGATGACACAGCAAATACGGACATGATCCTCTCGTCTCACGCATCCGTTATAACGTACAACGCGCACACAGGCGAACGAAAGGAGACCACACAGCAGATGTTTGACGACAACGTGACCATACACAGGCGCTGCATTGGCCCCGGCCCGGCCCAGGCGCACGGCAAATCCAGAGGAAGGAGAAGTACCGCTGAAGAAGATCACAGTCGGCACAAGAGACAAGCATCGGTGAACGATCTCATGTTTGTCATTCCTCCGGTGCCCATTCCACCATTGTTCCTGAATGCCATGGCAACCCCTGCTACAACTGCAACGACTCCACCGGCGGAAACAACATCCACATCAAGTAGCATCAGCACAGTAGCCGAAACCACTGTGGCAACGTCTACTGCAGAAGCAACCAGCAACTCTCCCACAGTGGCCACTTCCGTGACTGAAGCAACGACCAGCTCACCTGCGTCAACTCCGCAGGCAGCAGTCGCGACAACAACAAACGAGCAGCCATCACAAACAAGTACTGCCATACCTACCTCTCCGCCACCGTCTTCACCTTCTAGCGCTCCGGAGAGCTCCAGTTCACAAGCCGTGACTAGCCCGGTTCCGACAACAGGCACATCAGTTGCCCCGGCAACTAGCACCATGACACCGACCACGACACCGACTACAACAAATGCACCGCCGACTACAACTGCTCCGCCCACGACCGCCCCCGGCACGTCGTCGACTACAGTTACCGTGACGACCGCTGCACCGACCACCACTCCCCCAACCACCACTCCCCCGACCACCATGGTTTCCACAACCACTATACCGTCCACAGCTACTGTACCGTCAACAGGCAGCACGGATTCTGCGTCCTCCCCGCCAACAGCTGCGACGACACCACGCACCACATCACCAGCGTCCACGACCGCTGCGCCAGCGACAACTCCAGCCAGTACAGCTGCACCCGCCGCCACAACCACCATTCCTACTACTACTACTGCTACAACACAAGCAGCACAGACTAACGCTCCAACAACGACCCCAGTGCCACCTCCAGTAACAACCACCCCGGCAGCGACCACCCCAGTGACAACTACAGTAGCAACATCCCCGGCATCTTCCACTGCAGAAACTACTCCAGCGACCACCGCAGCAGCGACCCCAGCAACAATGACAACAGCAGCAACGGCATCAGCAACAGCCAGCGGAACAATGGCAACGCCACCTTCCACAAGTCCTCCCGCGACCACTACCCCAGCGACAGCTGCTCCAACTTTGAGTTCTCCAACCGCAGCCGAGACATCCAACACTGTTGCACCGACAACCCCGGGGAATACCAGCTCCACTGCACCCACTAGCAGTTCAATACCGAGTACCATAACCGGCGCGATCAGCACAACAGCGGCGGCTAGCTCGACAGCAAGCAGCACATCAAACGACACCGTCGTCGTCTTGCCAACCGAATCTGACGTAGCCGAGACGACGATTATCCGATTGGAACCAGTGTCGGGCGAAACCGTCGGTACCCAGACCTGGAAGACGGAGCAGGAGAGCAGGCTCAGTACGCTACTGCGGGAAGGCTACACGGCGGACAACAGAAACCGCCGGAGAAGGAGAAGAGCAGTGCCGCAAGTGATCAACATCACGGTCAGTTGAGTGCTGGGGTTGTTTATTTGTTTGGCTTTGTTTTACTTCACCACAGGCACAGGGAAAATCTGCCTTCTCACTGGGCGTATTGCCACTGTTGTGAACCCTCTGGTTCTCTAAAGTATCAGGAACGAACGAGCACACAGCACGAGGACAACTATTTATTCTCAACAGTATATTTTGACGTCTATCGACTAACAATATTGAATAAATAACATTAAAACCACCAGGTAGTTATAGCGTGAAAATGACAGCGTATATGAGAAAAGCATACACATACAACATACAACTACAGCGCACACAGCAAACCGCACATAGCGCCTGTAGCGTATACCACGTTGTAAACGTCAGCGGTACGGCGGAGTCGGGATACAACTGCATTGAAAACGAACACAATGTCACAGGCGAGAAGGCCTTTCACTCTCGAGAACTTGTGGTTTCGCAACAGCCACAGATCTTGCAAAATGATGAAGGGTGTTGGGGACCTGCACAGTACTGTCTATGGCCAAAGAACTGGGAGGCGGTGAGCTTCCTAGCCTAGACCGTTCTTATTATCGTGTATTGCAGTCTATGCACTGTTGAGTCACCGTGTATGCATTGGTATGCTGTGCTTGGTGAAATGCTAGCCTGGTCGTTCTTCGGTGCCCGACAGTACTGTAGCTCTGTGCAATAGTGTGTTGCATCTCAGCAGGTTCTACTAGTGAGGGGGAACAATACTGATTTCACGGCAACTTCTATGTTGTAGCACAGGTAAAGAAGACCGGATGGTTCTGCGATAGTGACTTTTCTAATCATGGATCGTGGAATGCTGTGAGAGGACAAACATTGCAGCTTTAACTAGCTTGTGTGGTGATTTTGCCAAGTGTTAGTATTATGTAGTTAGGCAATCGGATAGCTATATACAACGGGGTGGAGAGTCCTTTTGCATCGCTTTGTTTGCTGGAAATGGCCTGCCTGCAGTATTCCTGTAGCAGATTGTTCCTGCTGTGGGTTTTTTGCTGCTGCTGCTATTGCTGCTGCTGCCACTGCTGCTGCTGCCACTGCTGCTGCTGATATTGCTGCTGTTTCTGTTGCTGCTGTTGCTGTTCTGTCTCTGCTGGTGATGTTGATTCACTTCCATGCCCGTGGATGTACAGGTTGTGTCGGGAGTTCTCTCGGCCAACGGATCGTACGTGGACACGTATTTTGTGGCCCAGGCCGATCAAGTTGACGTTCAGCCAAGCCAAGCCGTGCGTCTGATGACGCTGGTACCGGCAGTATCCAGGAACAGCATCATGGGAGCAACGGTACTGTGAATTGTGGAATTCTTACAGGGGCGCATCATGGCCGCATATTTGTACGATGGGTGGTGCATGTCATTTATGGTCATTTTGTGCATGCTGAACCTAGGTCGAAATTTCTAGTGGTGTGTATGTGTGTGTGTGCACGTGCCCCCCCCCCCCCCCCCCCCGTGCCCCATACGGGGCTATAAGTCTGTTCTCCGGCAGTTCCTAATCAGCCTTTGTCGCAATGAACCCCAGGCTGGTAACTACAGTCAACTTTGCGTATAACGACACTCGGCGGGGCATCCGAATAGTGTCGTTATTCTCGAATCGTCCTTATACCCAAAGTCTTATTATATGTATTACAGTTAGTTTGGACTTTGCTCTGGGCATGGACATTCTGTCGTTATTCGCGAATTGTCGTTATATCCGCAGTCGTTATTAGCGAAGTGGACTGTATTACAAGCTTATTTTCCTAATAAAACCCACAAACCCTAAGCACGCCCACAGTGGTGTCGAGATCCGGCCAGCTTGTCCATCCACACGCAGTACTAGAGCTGGATAAGCGTAGTCTGGATCGCTGACTACGGGTGTACATGATAAGAATTCCTCCCTGGTTTGTCTTGACGCGTTCAGGGTTATCTGCTTTCAGGATTATGATTGTTCTGGCAACCTTGGTAACCGTGATACCAACATAGTCAGTCATACCCAACTAAAGTGTCTATTTCCCAGTATAGATGTGACATCAAAAAAAGTATTCATAGATGTGACATGTAAGTTTTTTTTCTCCTATTTCTGGAGTGCAGAGCAGGTGTAGATAAAGAAAAGAATTCATACAGCGGCCGAAACAATCAAACATGCAATCTAAGGATTGTACCAACCTGCTGCTGCTGCTGCTGTTGTTGCTGTTGCTGTTGCTGTTGCTGTTGCTGTTGCTGTTGTTGTTGTTGTTGTTGTTGTTGTTGGTGGTGGTGGTGGCGGTGGTGGCGGTGGTGGTGGTGGTAATAGTAGTGGTGGCCGTTGCCATCAAGTGTGTGTGTGTGGTGATTGCATATGTGAGATCATTTGCAAGTCCACCCATAGTTTGGGGATTTCAGGGCGGTTCAATAGCCAATTGCGTCCTCTTTCCAAGATTCCTTTTGAGTTCCTCTCTCCCCTCTCCCGGGGAGATCCACGTGACCAGTTTTTGGCAGTTAGCAAGTACAGTACAAGTACAGTGTGTGTGTGTGTGTGTGTGTGTGTGTGTGTGTGTGTGTGTGTGTGTGCGTGTGTGCATGTGTCTGGCCACGTGAATTATTGCGCATGTGCCCCGTCTGTCCGTATGCAGGTGATCTCGTTTGCTCTGGTCACTAGCGAGACTGTGACCACTGCTGCGCCGACCACTGCATCGCCCACTGCCATCTCTACCCCCGGTAGTGGTGACAGCTCCGGTGGTCTACCGCCGCATATCATTGGGATGATTGCGGCTGCCGGAGTGCTGGTTTTGGTCGTCATAGGCGCCATATGCTGCTACTGCTATCAAAGAAAAAAGCAACGCGAAGACGAACGGAGGAGGGTGGCACTGGTAAGTCTGCGATGCATTTCTTGTTGGAGCCACGGTGAGGCGTCACTGCTATCTCTTCTTAGAACCACTGTGAGAGTTAGGACCATGGTGAGGCATCAGCTATCTCTTCTTAGAACCACTGTGGGAGTTAGGACCATGGTGAGGCATCAGCTATCTCTTCTTAGAACCACTGTGGGAGTTAGGACCATGGTGAGGCATCAGCTATCTCTTTGTAGAACCACTGCGGGAGTTAGGACCATGGTGAGGCATCAGCTATCTCTTCTTAGAACCATGGTGGGAGTTAGAACTTAGAACCATGGTTAGGGTGATGACCACTGTGAAGTGTCACTGCTATCTCTGGATAGCTCAAGGCCGTCACAGCCGGGGGCGGCTGCTTAGCCGCCCCACTTTTTCGGCCGTTTATTTTATTTTAATATAGCTATGAATAGGATGAAGGCCGCAGACATCACGCAACTACGTTACTTGTTCGACATGTATTTACTGTTTATTTTATAACAAAAATATTATTGAAAACCCATAATCGATTTTCTTGTTCCTATCATCAGTGGGAAAAATACGGAACTAAGGATACAACCAAAGAAACTGAAGGTAAGTACTGTAAACAAAATACAAGTGCAATAAAACCACTAGAGGAAACGCAAAAAGGTAACAAGATTACGTAACCAAAGGCGAGAAGGCGCTAAACGAAGTGTCAACCTACGAATACAACTTCAGTGCAACAACGTGCTCCTTCTGCTTACACAAAACAGGCTTATGAGTTATGAATACGTATACAAACTGCCTCAAGGACTTTCAACTGTTGGACATAACGCACACGACACAGTACAGAAAAATGAGAGTCATCATACACACTAAGACAGTCAGGACGAGATAACAAGTGTAGATACACAGCTGACTTCTTACGATCAACACATTCATCCGCCTTATCTCGCTCCTTCCCACCCGACTCCTCCTCGTCCATCTCATCATCCTCTTCCTCGTTCCGCTCGTCATCCTCACGATCATCATCACTACCATCATCTGCCTCGTCCTCTGTCTCCTCACCAACCGTTTCGTCATCCAATTGCTCTTCTTGCTCTCCTATCCTCTGATCACCTGTCTCATCCTCCGTTTCTGTACAGACCACTTGTCTCCCATTTACTAGCTGCTCGTCCCGTGAGCGGAGTTGTTCCTCCAGCTCCGCTTCACTCACTGACTCATGATCCTGCTCGACCTTCTTTCTGTTGGTATTGTCCACAACGCGCGGTCCTTGGCCGTTTCTGGCATAAATATCTGTGGAGTAGTTTGCTGTTGCCCTCCGAGGTCTCTGGATTAATGTGGGAGCCGTGGTAATTCGTGTGAGAGTTGGTGATGCCAGCGCGGGTGTAGGTGGGTCCACTGCAGCCCCCGCCACAAGAAGAGCCGGTGGGGGTTCTGGTGGTGGCAAGGGCAACGGTGGTGCTGCTGGAGTTGGTAACTTGGGCAGCCTAGCCCTCTCACACGGTACCGCATTTTGTGTTGGCTCAGTCTGTACCACTGGCACAGGGGGTGGGTTCTTGCGCGGTCGGCCACGCTTCGGCCGCTTGGATTTAGCTGCATCCGGCAGAATATGCAGTGGTACATGCTGTTTGATACGTGCGGTCAGGTGTTGAAGGTTCCTACCAACGTACCGGCTACCACAATTCCGGCACTCAAATTGGTAAACCAAATGGCTCAAAAGATGGGATGGTAGGACGTCCTTCCTCACCATGAACGCACGTATCGTCGTGAATACAGGAATGAAGTGTGCTGCGAAGTATGTTTTCAGCACTAGCGTCTTGACTGCGCGATTATGGGTTTTCAATAATATTTTTGTTATAAAATACACAGTAAATACATGTCGAACAAGTAACGTAGTTGCGTGATGTCTGCGGCCTTCATCCTATTCATAGCTATATTAAAATTATTATCTCCACGTAGATTGTTTATTTATTTATTTTATATTTATTTATTTTTTTAGCACGCTGCAACAAAGGGCGATGATCGCAGCTCAGCACAAACATGGCACATCTTTGCCCCCGATCGTGGTTTGTTGCAGAAACAAAAAAAGTCTTTCATTGCAGTTACACTGAAATGGCACCGAATCATTGAAATGCCTGGAAATACTTGTAATTGGGTTCAATTTTTGAAATTTTTTCCCAGGGGAGGGTAATGTTTGTCCCCGATGGTAGCGTCTTCTTGGTTTGTTGCGAGTATTATCCACCTGCTCCCTATGTGGGTGTAACCATGTGCGTGTGTGTTGTGTGTGTGTGTTGTGTGTGTGTGTGTACGCGTGTGTGTGTACGCGTGTGTGCGGGCACTTGCGTGCGTGTGTTGTGTGTTAATGCCCCCCACAGAGTCGTATGCACAGAGTAGAGAGCATGGTTCCCACTTTACCTGGCGAAGGCAGCGCTGTGGTAACCATCACAAGCACAGCACCCAAGTCTAAAACATCTTTCTGGTCTCGCTCCGGTACAAGGTAATCACCAGCATCTGTACTTCATCCACAGTGCTGCTCAATGAAATCCGATCGCATGAATCACGTGTGCGCCTTGCACCAGTTCCCGTCCCAGTGTTGACATGTCTATAGGGCGGTGCAGCGTCCGGCATGGCATTCACCCGCTGCATCGGGCCTCATCGAGCAGCACTGGACATGTACATCGCGAAGAGGAAGATGCTTGAGTGAAATTGTCCATTGTGCACTTTTCTGCTGGTGAACCGGGCATACACTGGCAGTCACGTACTGGTGAGCGCGTTGGGGTGGTGATCCCTCGCAGATGTATAGGTCAGGCCAATCCTGTAAAACAGCTGGTCTTAGCTGTACTGGAACTTAACCCTTTGCATGCTGGCCTGTTTTCCCCTATACTCTCAGGGGCGTAGCCAGGATCATGGTCAAGGGGGTGCCCATAATTATTTTCTTCCAAAAACGTTCTTTTGAGGAATCTTGTACATGTATGCATATTGCATGCATGCTAGTGCGGTGTACACCTTGAATTATTTATGTATTATGAATGTCTCCAGCTTGCAATTCCAACAATCTACTTCCTCCGCGTCATTAAAATTGTTGCTTCCCAGAGAGATTTTTCGAATTTATTTTGTCCACTCGAGGGGCAAAGAAATCAGCTAGAAATTGAGGCAGAGCATTGTCGACGGACCAAGCTTTAGTTTGTGGCCTCCCGCTTCGCTGCACTTGCAGCTAAGGTCGACGTCTTCATCAGAGTTTGAGGCAGACCCTTCAGCACTCAACAATACGCTTAAGAAGACGCGCGTCCAAATTCAGGTCAAGAAACTTCGTTTTCAAGCGATCCATGCCTCCAGGTGGCAGGGGATGAAGGCAAGCTAGCATTTTTCAAGTACACTGTAACGACCTTCCAGCGGGGTAGGGTAAGCAGTTCCGCACCTTCTTTCCTTGGCAAGCGCTTCGCTGATTTTTGTCGGTGTTTTCAGACCTGCTACCTCCGCGGCAACATGCGCCACAAGTAGCGTATTTTAGGAATTTGAGACCACTTTGTTCATGGAGTAACTAATACTTGCACACTGACTGCAACGGAAAAGTGCAAGCACGTGTAGTACAATGCAGCACTCGCAGATCTACGTAGCATGCACCCAGTCTGGGCTGAGGGCAGTCGCGGTTGTTTGATCATACAATGCATGCCAAGCCAGACCCATGGTCAACATTTTTGAGGGGGGGGGGGGTGCTTTGGCACCCAAAGCACCCCCCACCCCCCCCCCCCCCCCCGCCTATGCGCCTGACTCTGGCACTCCAGCGCACGGACCCTCCTGGTGGAGTGTGGGCGCATTGCTCCAAACGAATTTTATTCTCATTTCAGTTCACAGTAGATAGAATTTCATCATCATGGACTTGTTGGAAAGATCAGGACCAAGCGAATCCATCCTGGCAGCTCTCAGCTCCATAGCCCCACCGGGGCAACGTACATGACCTCTCCAAACTGGCCCACCATGCCTCGGAGCGAAGCAACAACTCAGTCGGCTGAGATCCACCCGCTTCATTTGATGTCCATAACGCATGCGCTGGGGAAAAGAGAAATCCCCTGGCATGCTCCGAAGCACGAACAAAAAAATTCACAATCGCTCCAGGCCGTGAATTCTGTGTTCATGTTGTCGCCGCTCAGTCAATCTTTATCCTGTCGCGAAGAACTATATAAATCTGGAAACTGAGCTGCAGACTAGTGATGTAACGAATGGTGTTTTCTTCGAACGAATATTCTCTCGAATATTGCTTTGACGAACGAACGAATATTCTATATTCTTGTGATGTGCGTCGATCACTTCACTCCATCAGGCCCAACATTCATGTTGCATACAGATCACATTTCCACTGGTTACAGATCGGATTTTACCCAGGAACAAGCTTCGCGGTACTCAGAAAATAATTTCGACACTGTCATCCTCAATACTGTTCAGGAGATGAAGGTTGGAGCTAAATAACACAACCAAAAAGTGTCAATTTTTCGAATTTTCGAATATCGAATAATGCTGCCTGCATTCGAATATTCTTTCTGGTGTTGGTATTCTAGAATATTCGAATAATTCGAATATTCCTTACATCACTACTACAGACCTTTCCAACGGCATGTCGTTTATGTTGCTGTTGCTGCTGATGCTGCTGCTAGCTGTGATGCTGAGTGCTGAATGGGGATCGATCCATGATGTGTGTGTATGTGTGTGTGTGTGTGTTTCTGCCAGCAGAAGTGAAACTAGTGTAAATAATCCAGCAATAGAGCTGGGCATCGTAGGTCCCAAACCAGCAGCAACACCAGCGGCAACACCTGCGGCAACACCAGCGGCAACACCATCAAGGACACCGTCATCAGCATCGTCACGAGCAAATCTCTTCCGCTCACCCAAAGTGCATGCCATATCACACGACGTAAGTCCTGGAACCTTGAATTTTTGAAGCATCTTCCATTAGCAATCAGAGGCTGTAGTTTATTATATTTTATTTCTAATTCCACAACGCAACAAATCATAAGGAAGACGATATAGAGGACAATGAAGGGCTAATAGATATAGAAGTGGTGATGGGGTACGAAGTGCTCAGCCGACCGGTGTCTCGGCATCACGGCACACCATACAGATAAGCCACAAGTGGAAACACCATTCATGTAGGACTTCACCTAAACTGCTACTCGACGAAATGCGGTCGAGCGAGTCACAACTCGATGCCAGTTAGTGTGTAGCCCTGGTCTTGAGAATGCTGGGCTGTGAAACCTGTCTAAGACGACCGCTCAAGAGACCTTCGTGGTCTCTTTGTCCAAGGCCATTTGACTGGAGATAGCATCCCTTGGTCCTGGTTTCAGTGATCCTTTAGGACAGGTGGTCGCCTTATCCGGGTGGTGGCCTTAATAGGTTTTAATGCACTGGGCTGTGCGCAGTCTTTACTACCAGCTAGGGCGAGCTTCTATTAATGGAACTCTTAGTCTGATTGAGCAGCACCGCAGTTTCCTCCGCAAGCCAAGGACAAGTCAAAGCCAAACCCTCGGTGAGACATACGAGCTCGTACATGTACCCCCCCCCCCCCCCAGCCCTGGGACAGATAACATCACTCGCCCGCACATCTCAAAGAGCAGACGGGCTTATTTCTGGAAATGTAGAGATGCTTCATCCCATGGTTAGCTGAAAGAAACTCTTCCGAAAAGCCACCTACGGATAAAAAAATATCCATGCAAGGTGACTGTTTGATGATGTCTTATACGGCGCCAATTTTCATCATGCAAACACTCGGAGTGAAGTCTTGTTGAAATAGATAAACTTGAATCTGCGTTGTATGTACTATGTTGTGATTGTCTTTAAGGATTTGCAAACGCCACTGCAGCCACTCGCACAGTACTCAAGGACCGGCGCAAGCAGTTTTTGATTGATCCGACCATACCCTAGTCTTTCATACAGTTTATGTGTATGATATGGAGGGTATACCCATGACTTTCATACAGTTTGTGTATGATATGGCGGGTATACACATGACTTTCATACAGTTTGTGTATGATATGGAGGGTATACACATGACTTTCATAGAGTCTGTGTATGATATGGAGGGTAGTCACATGACTTTCATACAGTTTGTGTATGATATGGAGGGTAGTCACATGACTTTCATACAGTTTGTGTATGATATGGAGGGTAGTCACATGACTTTCATACAGTTTGTGTATGATATGGAGGGTAGTCACATGACTTTCATACAGTTTGTGTATGATATGGAGGGTAGTCACATGACCTCCTCAGCAGTAAACACATGTTGGTGGGCAAAACGCTGGTCCAGCCATGGCCTGACCAAAACGTTGGTCCAGCCATGGCCTGACCAAAACGTTGGTCCAACCATGGCCTGACCAAAACGTTGGTCCAGCCATGGCCTGACCAAAACGTTGGTCCAGCCATGGCCTGACCAAAACGTTGGTCCAGCCATGGCCTGACCAAAACGTTGGTCCAGCCATGGCCTGACCAAAACGTTGGTCCAACCATGGCCTGACCAAAACGTTGGTCCAGCCATGGCCTGACCAAACCGCTGGTCCAGCCATGGCCACGACCAACCGGACCGGTTCCGCCGGGCCGGTATTCTCCTCAATCTAAACACTCACACGTGTCCTCCCCTGCTGTAACACTGAAATCAAGTTCATCTAGTTTTCGGGCATGGCCCATCATCATCGTCGTCCTAGTCAAACATGTAAACACTTGTTTTCTTTTCTTTACGCCCTCGGGCCTGCACGCAGAGACCGATGCGCAGAGGACCGAATCTCAGCCTTTTCCGGGTGGTAGGTCATCAAAGTTAATCTCCTCGCCGGATGAAAATGGATTTTGGCTCGTCACATGATAAAGACGGGTGCATTTACAAGCCACTCGACACAGGCCACTGGCGACAAAGCGTTGTGTTCTCTTCCCCAATAGATAGGCATGTCCGGACCTGCAACCGCGCTGCGGGCACACGGCAAGAAAAATAGTTAGGGCCACAGCAAGACAGGAGAACTGAACAAATCGGCCATGTTAGTATGTTACACATGTACAGGAGATCCAAAAGGATAGCACTGGGAGTTCACGCAGTACAGCCAAGTGGCAGACTTGACCTGGATTGAGCATTCTTGACGGAAAAAATCCCATTGCGCACGAATTGGGTTGGTCCACTTTTCAAAATACCGACTAAGACCAGGCCAGACCAGACCGGGTGCAACGACCCTGATGTCTGTTGTACATGATTTAACACAGTCCATACTTCCAGTTGTTGTCGTTGTGTTAAGGGTGATGGACAACGGAACAGTATGCACGACTGACCACTCAGCATGCAGCACACATCGGGTTGCCGGAGATAAAATCACCACCCACACATCATTTCAAGCAGGGGTGTATTTTAGTGTGGTATGGTCAGCCATCTGAAGTACAAGTTCCTCGTGTGGGGAGGCGTGGCTGAGCCGAAATTCTTGGAAATTTAGAGTCTAGATCTGTGTATTATAGATTCACGGTATACCTGGGGCAAAAAGTGGTACGGTCAATACCGTAGTGCCCGTACCATCTCCGACGCCCCTGGTTTGTATCTCGGTTGTCGGAACGCTGTAAATTTCCACAACCCTGCTTAGTTCCAGTAGCTTTTCCAGAAACTCACTCTCCTTTGGTAAGTTATGTAGGACTGGCCAAACCAAATGTGTCTGGATGATTACGTGGAAAATTAAGTCTTTTCTGGTTTGTTCTCTCTGTTCTAGATGCTGCTGCTGCCTCTGTTGCTGCTGCTGTTGCTGCTGTTGCTGCTGCTGTTGCTGCTGCTACTGCTGCTGCTGCCTCTGTTGCTGCTGCTGTTGCTGCTGCCTCTGTTGCTGCTTCTGCTGCTGCTGCTGCCTCTGTTGCGACTATTGCTGCCTGTGTTGCGGCTGTTTCTGCTCCTATTGCTGCTGCTGCTGCTGCTGCTGCTGCTGCTTCTGCTGCTTCTGCTTCTGTTGTTGCTGCTGCTGCTGCTTCTGCTGCTTCTGCTTCTGTTGTTGCTGCTTCTGCTGCTTCTGCTTCTGCTGCTTTTGTTTCTGCTGTTGCCGATGATGCTGATGGTGGTGCCACTGACACTGGGCCGGGTGTTGCTTGTGTTCCCGGCCTCTCCAGGGTGGTGGGGCCATCACACAGGGTGGTGGGGCCACCACATCCCAGAGCAGTGGCAGTACAGCTGGCGAGGCTGTCTTCAACAATCCAGCTACTGTAGCCACTGATGCTGCTCCTGGAACGCACGCCAAGCGCACTGCCAGACCGGGGACAGTCAAGTAAGCATATTTCTTCAGGAGCGGCGGTTCACGCATAGCCATGCACAAACTGAGCTTGACGGGGTTGATGTCGAGCCGGTCAAGCCTTCACCCTACTCCCCCCTCCCCCCCCGTCCCCGGCCCGCACGCGTGCATGCAACGGTCTAGGTTGTATTACTTCTTGCAATTATGTAGAAGTCTTTTAAGAAACTTCTTCCACTTTCATCTGTCCAGGAAGCAGTTTGGGTGGCAGGCGCGTACGCAGGGGGGGTTTCCCGTTGCCCGGAAACCCCCCAAATGTTCCAAACGAGCAACGTTTTTGGGCATATTTTGGTAGGGCGCACGATCGATCTGGCAAGAATGCAAAACTTCAACAGATCGTAACTCAGTCAAATCTGGCTCAAATCCAACTATCCAAATATCCAGGTCGAATAGAAAACTCTCAGCGGTCGGTTGGAACAATTTGCGGCGCGCTGCGAGCAATTAATAGCTCTTGAGATAAATCGTTCGTAACTTGAGCCGTGATCTCGCAATTTCAAAAGCGCGCAGTGCGACTCGAGTATCGAGAATTTGAGACTTTCGTCACGCTGATTTGCTCAAATTTGCAGGGGCTTCACTTGTGATATTTTCAAGAGCACGCAGCAAACAAATCGAAACTCTGCGATCAAGAGAAACGAAATCGCTGGAGCAGGACGCGTTTGGGCCTTTGGCCCAGTTTGGGGCATTTTTTCGCACCGTCGCTGCACTCTGTAAAGAGCACTTAGGGTTCCCTGTAACAAGACGGCAACGTCTGTAGGGCCTTCCCTATCAAAATGATAAATTCTACTACTACTACTACTACTACTACTACTACTACTACTACTACTACTACTACTACTACTACTACTACTACTACTACTACTACTACTACTACTACTACTCTACCGCTATAGCATATAGCGCTGGATACGCTGGATATGTACATGGCTGTACCATGTCTACTGTGTCCTGGCTATCATGTTCGACCTCATTCTCTCCCTGGTACCTTTCCACTTCCAGGAAGCCTAAGATAATGAAGATTGAGTGAGTAGAACTGAAGTTATGATCCAAAGAACACGAAAAAATGCATAATTTTGAAAATTTCCTAGGGCTCTTTAGAAAGGGTTAAACGAGTCATTGTTTTTAGTGATTCGGTTGGAAACCCCCCTAGATGTGACCCTGCGTACGCGCCTGGGTGGAGACACCGGTCCCCACATCACTGCAAACATGAACCATTAGAGAGGTTAAGATGCACATTATTCCCATGGCGCTAGCCAGGATTCACACAGCTTTAATTTCGTGTTTGTTTGTTTGTTTGTTTGTGCCATCGGCATGCCTGGCGCTATCCCGTACCTGTCCCATGTGCCGTCGGCATATGCCAGGCGCTATCCCGTACCTGTCCCGTGTGCCGTCGGCATATGCCTGGCGCTATACCGTACCTGTCCCGTACCGTACCATCAAAGACAGCTGGCCACAATATTCAAATAGGGCTTTCAAATGCAAGATCATAACGTGAAGAAACTTGGAGGAATGAGTATGCATGAGAAGTTTATCGGGGGATGCATGCAGGGCGATAGTGCGGGTTCGAATCCCAGATTATGTCTTGAAAAAAAAGGAGAAATGAAAAAATTATAACATCCTTATGCTTTTTTTTGCCTAGGTCATAAAGGTGGTAGACGGTGTCGTATTTCCTTCGAATGCAAAGAGAAAATTTGATGTAGCCAATCAATGGAAAAAACCCATTTCGATCAGTTCTAATAACATGCATGATAAGTTAAGCAAAAAAGCATAGCGTAGAGCCCTGAGCTTCCAAGCTCTCTCGTTTCCGACGTGATGTGCAATTTCACGTCAAATTTGGCGTAAAACTCCGAATTTCGACGTGGCCTGCAGGTCACTCGCGTTGTTTTTCGACGCACGAGCCAAATAACGCGATCTGAACTTTCGCGTCACGTCAGAAATAACGTGCATCTTAACCTCTCTATTACCATCATTTCGTTTACAGAGTGATGGCCAAGTTCAGATTTGCAGTGCCTGTGGGAATGGGCGTGTCTGCACAAATTTCTTTCTCATAATCTTGTGCCAGTTTTACGTATGGACAGGTGTTAATTAGTCAGTAGTCTTGGTGCTAAGTTTCCAGTTGCATCAAGTCCAATGGAGTTTGAGGTTAAAACAGAACACATCACATGGAAACGTGTTATGAAGCGACTATCCATTACTGTGACAAGATAATAACTCGTGTCCATGTGATTTCTTCTATTTTAATTTTATTTATTGGCTCAGTATCCGAGTTTAGTTTGACGTTATAAAAAATTGATATTGAACTGTGTGTCTGTGCTTCGGAAAGGAGTGAATTTTGGCAAATTGCCAGCAAAGTGCGTAATGTATAACGTGCAAGGCGTTTCAAACGAGTGAGAAAGAGGGCCAGTTTGAATTCGTCGTAACTCAAAGTTCCACGCTACTGCAATCGTCTGATGATGAAGTCGTCCGATGATTGCAGTAGCAAGGAACTCTGAGTTTTGACGAGTCCAAACTGAACCTCTTTCTCGCTTGCTTGTGCTTCACTTCATTGGGACCTCTCGGCAATGGCGGGTCAGTTTTGTTGAAGTTCCCAGCAGCTCGATCCCAGTCAATGTGTCCCAGTCCATTGGCCACTTCATGAGCACCTACCAATGTCAGAAATGTGCAGCAAGCAAGAAATTGGCGAGACGGGATAGAGCACTGTATGAAGTCGCAGGTCAAACACGAACAATACAACACCGCGCCAGAAATATACACTTTTCACTCACATAGCAACCGGTTTGTACATGGGGTAGTGTTCTACCAGAGAACGTACGTACTCACGATGGCAGGTTAGGAGAGTTGAGCAGTGAACGAGAAGCAGTACACGGAAAGAAAATGATGAGTGAATAATAATTGTTTACACTCTTTCGCTATGCTCAGCCGTGATAATACAACTCTACACAGTAAGGCTGCATCCAAATTTTCATTCACTTGAAAGTCGAAATTCCGTTCCTCACTCCTCAGCGGTCTTGGAGTACCTTCCCAGGGTCATTTCGGTATAAAATGGACATTTCCGCACCACGACAGCTTTCCCATACCGCCTGTGCTCTCACCAGTCAAATTGGAAAATCCAAATGTTAACGGAAGTTTACCCATATGTCTAAGCCCGCTCGTAGAGAATTCAGTTGTGAATGCGAAATGCTGCTGTCTGATGATCGCTGAAATATGCCAAACTTGAAGTGACAGCTACACAGCATTTTACCTCCGTCGTGTGTACATGTATGCCCATACTTAAACACATGGATATTAATTCTATTTTAATTCTCAGAGCATTTCACCCACAGTTTTGAAACATTTAGGCACATGGTAACAGACTATAATCAGCCTCTCTCGCATCCTTACTGCCTTGTTGCTCAATAGCAGCTTTAGCCATGGCTTCTGCTCTGTTCATCACTATTCATGGGTTTTGCTCTGTTCATCACTTTTCAGGCCGCCCAAGATGTCGTATTCTCGCCACGATCCTGTGCAGACGGTTAGGACGACTGCGTGGCCCGATCCCTTGGAAGGTAAGCAAAACGCACTCACTACAAACCTGCGGTTGACACGGAAATCCAAATGCTCAGTTTCAACTTCAATTTATGCCAGGCAACTGCTCAGTGTGAAACTTGAGTAATAATTTATCTGTTCCTGAAAACTTTCTTTCAAAGCCAAAGGCTGTCTTATGGCATCTATTTCGTTCAGAGGATTGTGGGACGCCGCATGTATGTATTCCCTGTGCATGCATTTGCATGAGTCTTGGATTAGATGGGTGAGGGAGGGCATAGGCAGACATGGATGTGGACGGGGGAATGTGTTTGTGTCGTTCCGTAAAGCTTCTCTCCTTTAAGACGCCGTAGGCTGCCCGTATCTCGGAATCTTCCGTTAGGCCCTCTTTAGACTAGGTCCAAAACAGCCTATAAGTCACATTTACATAGAAGTTTCCAAGACAACAACAAGAACCTGGCGGGAAGCCTGAAAAGCTGCCCAATCCTTTCGGGCAGAGTGCGAACCCTTGTACAAGGCAACTTTCCTGCATTTATCGTACTTTCACCAGGCAGTCATACAAATGTACAAACTTTGTACGACTGCATGCAGAGCGCGTTCATACATCCCAGGCCCCTTGCGCAATTGTGCATGGTCAAAGGTTGCCTGTATATTGCATGTAAAATGTGTAGTCTGAATGCAGCAGGCGTGGAAAAATGTTGCCTTTTAGGTTTTATGTGATTTTGTACTGAATGTTCTATGTACGTAGTCTGTAGGGGGCCTAACTCACAAGCATACATACAGCCATTATGAAAAGGACTTCGTGCTTTTTAGGCAGGCTCGCTTGTCCCAGATTGATACCATTAACAGGCGTACATCGCAAGATTCTATGCTTGGAATCCTTCAAGCGGTGCTGTAGTTCAGTTGGCCATCACGAAAAGGAAAGAGTTGAGTCCATGCCTGTGCCTGCAGTACGTATACCTGGTCTGGGATTTCGATACCGGCAAGAGTACATAACCCCAAGAGTGTGCAACTGCCTGCACGACCTCTATGCAGTGCTGCGACGGCAGAACTTCACATCACGTGACATGGTTCAAAAGGTTACACTGGAAAACAGTGCAAAGTGATCACAAGAGAGTTGTACCCAAAGCTGGGTTTCGTACAACCCTGTATCAATCATGCACAGAGTGCAAATAATGTGTACGGGTTCATCACGTGATGTGAAGTTCTGCCGTCGCAGACCCCATAGCTGGAGTTGCACACTCTTGGGGGTTATGTACTCTTGATACCGGTCATAGCAGTTAGCATTGTTCTGTTTGGCGTGCATGAGCAGTGCTAGAATGCTGATACCCTTGCTAGCTTTAGCTGCTCTTGCCCCACCTCCACTGCTTCGCCTGCCACCGCCATGTGTATTCCTGTGCTTTTGTTGCTGGTGCTTGCACCATCATGGTTTGTTTTTACTGTAAAACTAAATATTTCGGTGGAGTATTATTTCCGGTAACTTTAGTACAGGTGATTTATACCTATAGTCTGTTTCAAAAAGATTTACAATCAGGTTTGGGTCTTGAAAAGTATGAAGATAAGGGAAATTTGGACAACAAAGTACATAGAATGGCTTGTTAGGACACGGCAAATTGTTCTGTGAAGGTTTCGGAACAATTGGATCAGCCGTTAAGGAGTTAGAATTTCGGCCAGGTTTCCGGCCTTTTCCCATGGTTTACAATTTGCCCAGGAAGCCAGTATCGATTTTTTATCAAAACCCACGATTTATCCTTTCCTTTTTGGCCTTGTGGTTATGAATGCTGTCTGCTGACAATGAAGTTGTGAGTTCAAATCCCAACCTATCTTCAAGTCAAACTTTTTTTCTTCATTGTTTTGGTGATCAAGCTGGTACAAGACAAAGAAGATGGCTGCACCAAACGACTTGTTGTTGTTTTTGGAGCTCGCGCTTCCTGCCGAACTGACTGACACTTGACTGGCTCACGCCATGTGAACACACCCACAACACTGCAATGGTATGAGTGAATATGGAAGTCATCGCGCTGTAGCTTTTTGAGATTTATTCTAGTATTTCAAGATCGCCAATTTATTTGAATTTAGCAGTCAACGCCGTCTTCTATCAGCGTTCACAAGCGTCTGCTTTTCTCAAAATGTCGTCGAAGTCCCACGGATAGCTTTGCCAAGTCATGGCCTTGGGAATGAGCCGTGTCGATGTCGTTTTCGTCACACGGTGAGTAAATTGCATCGCAGCTCAAAGAAGCTATTTTGGTCACAAAACGAATTGGGACCCATGCCGCTCGTCAACATTTACAACACTTTCGTTTCGACATGTCCTCTCTAGCTCTGACTCCATTATCGATACGAGGAAGAACTCGTTTGTTGTAAACCAGACGACAGACGTACATGACTGTATCAACGTGAGTGAGTTGTCATTTTCCTGCTTTCGCGCGGAATATTTCTTCGAGTTCACAGTGAGTTTTTCCAGGCAGCGCTCGAGTGCTCGTACGGTAAGACGCCAAACTCCGCGGGCGATCGCCAGGATTGCAAATCTTTTTGAAACGGACTGTAAAATGAAATGCACCGAAAATATACGTACATGCATGCCGACTGCAGTATGGAAAACTGGTTTACCAAATTTTCGCGCTACCGAACCGTTGATATTGGGTAATACCGAAAATATTACACTACCAATAATTCCTGGATTTAGAGTATCTATTGTCCATTCACAAAAAAAGATGGACTTCTGGCCGTAAATGGGTCAAATTTGAGTTTTTTCAGAATTTTGCCTACAAACCCCTATGGAATCCTCTTCCAATTATGTTTCTGAAGTGTGTGGACCTCGTGTGGGATTCTGGTCAGTGATGTAAAGAGTGAAGGTTTCTGGATGATGCTGTTGTGACCACTTCATTTAGTTCATTACCATGCCTGGCTCAAGAAACACTTTGTTAAGCCAGCGGGCGTTCTTTGTTGTGTATTTAAATTCGCGATTCAAACGGGCAAGCATGCCCAATTACAGGAATGCGAATGCCAGAGAGAGAGAGACAGACAGAGAGAGAGACAGAGAGAGATAAGGAAGAATGCTCGTTGTTTGTTATTTCTGCTGCAGAGGTGGGAGGAGAAAATTCTGCAGATCGCCCGACTGCTGCTAGACCGGTAAGTCTGCACATGGCATGGGTTGCTCTTCCCTTGCCAAGTGACACAGAATTTTGTAGCAATGGATTCGTTCATTATGAAAACCCAAGCTGTAAAACCAGTCATGCCGACTTTTTGTGTTCGAAAGCCGTTCCCTTGGGCAGGTGCATTGTGGGAGTGGTGCAAGCAACATACTGCAGCACCGTTCAGTGAGGCCCGAATCAAGCGAGTGAATGCCACCGCGGGCACTACGCAGTCCTAGACCTGCGAACACTGCGATGTGAACTAGTGCAGAGCGCAAACTTGATTTGCGAGATTGGAAGTCATTGAGCAGCACCGTACTACAGTACATCAGAAAAAAGATGATATCCTTGCTTTTGGGCATACCATATTTTCCCCATTAAACGTACACGTCTCCAATACTAGTACGTCTCCAATTGTAGTACATGTTGAGCGTTGATCAAAAATATAAAAGACACGTCTCTAATAATAGTACATGCCGGAATGATGTGATGGGCATTACTGGGGTACAGGTACCTTACTTCGTTTTTCTTACCCGTTCATCATCTTTGTGTCTTTGTACACTGATCCTTACCATGGTGGGATGGATTTACAACCTTACAGTATCATTATCACTAGTTGTTTACCACCCAACCCAGACAATCAATCTTTCCAGAAACAACAAAAGTACACGTCTCCAATACTAGTACAGTCTCCTATAGTAGTACAGGTCTGACCACCTTTGAAAAAATAAAAGGACTGTACATTTATTGGGGAAAATACGGTAAATGGGTCAAGTTTTGAGCTTTTTCACAATTTTTTCTGCACTTCCCCATGGAATGCTCTTCCCTTTTTGTTTCTCATTTCTCCGTAAAGCAAGCCATAACAAGAATAAGATTTCGGCCAGGTTTTGTCTTATAAGCACTGAATTGGGAAAAAGCCATGAAAATCCATTCCGTTTCACTCTACTTGTATCACTGCATTGTGCGGTTCAAAGCCCAGTTGACGTACCTTTTTGGACCCTTTTTCAAACCTCAAATTTCATGGCACTGAACTGTCACGAATCACGAGAATTGCCAGATACGGGAGCACACCGGAGCCAGCACTCATCTTTTTTATGAATGGACTGTAGTACTGTGTACAGTCAACTTCGTTAATAACAACTGCGGATATAACGACCATTCGCGAATAACGACAGACTTTCCATGCCCAGAGCGAAGTCCCATCCCACTGTAATACACATAATGAGACTTCGCGTATAACGACACTTCGCGAATAAGGACACTTTTTTGATGCCCCGCCAAATGTCGTTATAAGCGAAGTTAACTGTAATCGTGTTCATAAGTCTGGTTCATGTGATCCGTTCGTGATCACCTTTGACTAATAGGCAAGCTATTGATATGTGGAGTATACAAAGCTCGGACCAAATTTAGTGAATTGTCAACCGTAGTTAAAAATACAGGACGAAATGCTACGAGTGATGACTAACTGTCCACCAGCGTAACCAGATCCTATACAGTCAGCAAGTGCGACAAAGTGGCACAAAACTGACAAGGAGTACTGAGACATTCAATGACCTCACACCTAGCTCACTGACTTTATTATGATCTCGTAACATGTTGTCCTTTCTTTTTATCCATGAATGCATTGGCTCAGCATCCGAGTTCAAATTGTCAACAGTGAATTTGATTGTGGAAGCACCACGTAAACTCCCCCCCCCCCCCCCCGATGGCATGCTATGCAGGAGAGTTTATGTGGAACTTCCGTATTCCGTATCTCTTGTTGTCTCTGTATTGCACATTCACAATGCTTAGCTTGGTTGCCATGACTGCACTCTTGGTCTCTCTGTGTCTGCGTGTTCATAGAAAACGCAAGGATATGAACGCCGCTTGGCTCCGGGACAACGGGGAACGGTGAGCAGTTTCAAAAAGGGTATTCATTTTTGGAACATGTCCCTCTGTTACTAATTTTAGGGTCATTTCATTCCTACATCAGCCAACAAGAGTTGGGACATTTTCCCCCAGTTGCATATCAATCTACTGATAGAAGCACAACTAATCTACAACCAGTGGACACCGATTTGTTTCAACAGCAACGTTTTTCTCCAGAATTCATCAGTGACTACTTCTGGTAGATGATGGAGAGAATGAAAGAAGAAGCTCATGGTAGCAGAGAATACAACTGCTTAAGGTGTGAAAGTAGTCTATGCAGAGTGGGTACCATCTATATGGTATAAAGAACAGCATGTGGCCGGGCGAAAACCCACCAACACACACACCAACACACACACCAACCCACGCACACACACACACACACACACACACACACACACACACACACACACACACACACACACACACACACACACACACACACACACACACACACACACACATACACATACACCCACACGCGCGTGCGCGCACACACACCAACACACACACACACACACACACACACACACACACACACCAACACGCACCAACACATGCACCAACACATACACACACACACCAATATAATTATGCCCACTAACACTAACACACACACTAACACACACACACACCAACACACACACACCAACACACACACACACACACACACACACGCCAAGACACACACCAACGCACACATCACCACCAACACCACCAACACACACACACACACACACACACACACACACACACACACACACGCGCGCCAACACACACACACCACCACCACCAACACCATTGCACGCACGCACGCACACACGCACACACACACACTTGCATAGCTTCACACACTATGAAGAGGAGCAACGTGTCACTTGAAGCAACAAGATGAATTCTGGAGAAAAAAACGTTTCTCTCGAAACGAATCAGTATCGGTGTCCGTTGGTTGTAGATTTGTTGTGTTTCTATCAATATTGCTGTCTTGTCTCCGACTACAGTGCGTTTCAAAAATATAGGCGCATGATTTCAAAAAACCGGTAGGCCAGCATCTATGCCACATAAAATCTGTGATCACTTTGTGCACAAAAATTTCGAAATTGGGTGCTTGTTATCTGATCGCTTAAAAATCTATGTGAGAGTAATTGCAGGCAGGACCTGAGCAATATTCCGGAAAAAATTCTCAAGAAGCTCCAGGCAAATTTTAAATATTTCAAAAATACCATGCGTCTATGTTTTTGAAATGGACTGTAGAATTTTATCACATGTTCCCTCTGTTCCTCTCTGCTGCTTGTCCCACAGGGCAGGGATGATGCCGAGGGTGAAGGTGCCCAAGCAGCAACTGCTCCCAGCAGAGAAAGTGGTACGTACAGAGTGCGCGAGTTTTGGCAGAGTCGAAACCGACCGTCGACAATTCTCGAGACGGCACGAGAGGGTACAGAAGAGGACCCGTTTTCACATGCATTCTCAAAGGCGAACGAGAGTGGTGCGAAGGGAGCTGCTGCCACCGGACAGACTCGTGGACGCAGCGAACCCTTGCATGGCCACAGACACGCACCACAGGCACTGTCCGAGAAAGACAAGAAGGCTAAGGAAACAAAGGAAACGGGCGCCACTAAATACGTTCCCAGCTCTACGTACGTGCCGTCTAGACCTGATGCAAGGGCACAGCAGGGCGGACAAGCGGGAAGACTGCTACCCCCAAAGTCTCCAAGGATCATTCAGGCAGTAAAAGACTATGAAGCCGCACTTAATGCCAGGTATGCATCATTGGCTCCGAGAACCACGGGACTGGGCAGAGAGGCACAGGCAAAAGAAAGAATGCCGCCCGTGGCTACGTCTGAAATGCCGATGAAAACTGCCGGTGGAGCGCGCCTAGGCACGCCAATGCCCCAGGCGAAGACGAAAAATGTCCAGGGGATTAAGTTCTCTTTCCAGGACATGGGGAAGCAGAAGGGTGATGTCTCCATACGTCACGTCAGATCCGAAGGAGATCTGAAAGTGGCCGCCAGGCAGGCCACCCAGTCAATGACCAAATCGCATGAAAGCATTGTGGAAGTCCCGGCTGCTACCAGTATTAATGAGCGCTGGCGTGCTTTAATGCACAAGATTACAAAGGATAATCCAAATCCAGTTTGGAAAAATTGGAAACCGGAGGATATCCTTAGGGGCTACCAAGAACAGCCCAATGCCCGTGAGAGCGCTGCCGAGGGTCTGGATCAGCCTCCCACGACTAAACCTCATGATCCCAACTACTCGGCCGCCGGGCGCTACAGGGGGCCGCCTGATCAGGCGCCATCCGGCTCAATGGGCCGGTCGCAGCCCCCGGGTACATTGCGCGGCCCTTCCGAGTCGCAGCAGCAAACACCCCGGAGACCTCCCCTGACCGGCGCACGCACCAGGTCGCGCTCCCCGGAGTACGCGGCGCGGGGACTGGCTAGAGACAGGCGGTCAGAAGCTGCATCTCTATCCGTCCTAGCAAACCGTGGGCCGCCACGTGAACCAGCCCCAGCCCTAGCCCTGGACCGTCCACCAATGAGGCTTGGCCCGAGGTCCACGTTGTCGCAGAACTACGGACCGCCCACGGAACCTCTCGGTCTTAACCCGTCGCACAGGGCACCAATGGCAAGCTTACACGAGTCATCCATTGTTCAGTCTACTGGACAATCGCTTGCGCGCACGGGTGCTAGCCGTGAAGGAACCACTGGCAGTACAGCAGCAGCAGCAGCACGCCGTTCCAAGCCATCCTCGACAGTTGTGGAGACGAACAGGGGGATTACAATGGACGATGAAGAGGAGGATGTGTTTGGTCGCAAGAAACATCCCAGTGACAGGTTTGTGGGTGTTGTTGTTTGCAGCTCGATGCGATGTTTTGTGTTGCCAATGACAGGCTTTGATATGCAACGAAAGCGTCGCTGGATTGAGCCACGTTTTGTTGAATATTGTAGCAGCCTCCGCTATCGTGTTCCGTAGTTGTTGGGTGCTGGCGTCCACTTTAGTCTGCAGATGTTCTGCTTGTAACATTGCGGTGATGTAGTGAAAACCATGGGTGAGCTTTACGGTGAGGGACCGCCAGGCCCCCCCCCCCCCCCCCCCCCGCCTAGTATCTGGAGATGTTTTGATTGTAAGATTGTGGTGGTGTTCTGAAAACCTTGGGTGAGCATTACGCTACAGGAGTATTAGATTTTGCACAAACTCTTCCAGGGTTGCAGCCAAAGTGACGTACTGCACTGCTGTGCTCTCCTTTCAGGTTTGGGGTGCCGCTTTGAGAAGCAACGGCATCACCGTTGAATGCACGGATCAACTTATCCACACACTGACCCACACACTTACCCACATACTTACCCACACACTTACCCACACACTTATCCACACACTTATCCACACACTTACCCACACACTTACACACACACTTACCCACACACTTACCCACACACTTACCCACGCACTTACCCACACACTTACCCACACACTTACACACACACTTACCCACACACTTACCCACGCACTTACCCACGCACTTACCCACACACTTACCCACACACTTATCCACACACTTATCCACACACTTATCCACCCACACACTTACATGTATCCACACACTTATCCACACACTTACCCACGCACTTACCCACACACTTATCCACACACTTACCCACACACTTACACACACACTTACCCACACACTTACCCACACACTTATCCACACACTTATCCACACACTTATCCACACACTTACCCACACACTTATCCACACACTTATCCACACACTTATCCACACACTTATCCACACACTTATCCACACACTTATCCACACACTTATCCACACACTTACCCACACACTTACCCACACACTTATCCACACACTTATCCACACACTTATCCACACACTTATCCACACACTTATCCACACACTTACCCACACACTTACCCACACATACACATTACTTATGGAAGATGCACTGCACACTTACACACATACACATTACTTGTGGAAGATGCAATGCACACTTACACACATACACATTACTTATGGAAGATGCACTGCACACTTACACACATACACATTCCTTATGGAAGATGCACTGCACACTTACACACATACACATTACTTATGGAAGATGCACAGCACACTTACACACATACACATTACTTATGGAAGATGCACTGCACACTTACACACATACACATTACTTGTGGAAGATGCAATGCACACTTACACACATACACATTACTTATGGAAGATGCACTGCACACTTACACACATACACATTCCTTATGGAAGATGCACTGCACACTTACACACATACACATTACTTATGGAACACACACTGCATTGAAGGCTACTTCAGAAGTAGTAGCCCACTAAGCCGGCGCGGTGCGTTGCTACAGCTAGGGTAACCATGGTAACACACCTACACCTGCATACTGTGAGGTGGTGCCAATTTGTACTACTATCAGGGGAATCATGCACGGTACGGCCATTAGCACCAGTAGCACCAGTAGCACCAGTAGCACCAGTAGCACCAGTAGCACCATGGTCGTACCACTGTTCATTGAGGTTACATTGATGGCCCACCCAGTCCATCCAAGAAGCCAATAAAAGAGCGTACAACGTGCCCGTCGGTCGAAAAATCCAATATTTTTTCCCCGGGGATCTCTCCCCCCCCCCCCCACGCACACACGTGCCACTCCCCACTGTCCTGTGACGCGCCTGGCCAATGCACAAACATTCCCCTAACACCCTTCCTCGGGTGTTCAGTGGGGAAGGTACGAATTGAAATGAGGTGCTGGAGGAGTGACCACTGTCTGTCGGAGCAGCAGCAGCAAGCATCATTCAAGTCGATGTACGAGAATCACGGATGTAGGAATTACGAGACGATAACTTGTGAAAATCAAGTAACATTGCAGAGATAAGCTACTAATTGCAAGAAAACAAACTGTTTAAGAAGGCGACGTGGAGACAATAATCTGAATAATGCAGTGAATAAAACTCTATGTGCACTCATATGGTTGTGATATGAGTGCACATAGAGTTTTTATTCATTGCATTATTAAAACAAAATGAACTCGCAAAAATCCTCCGGAAGCCATTGTCTGTTGTTCTGAGCAAATGAGCTACTTGCATTACTGGAATCGACCGGCTTCTTTTGCTGTCGTTAGGCTGTTGTTTTTGTCGTCGTTGTCGTCGACGTCACTCTTGTTGTATTATGTTGTTCTGCTGCAGTGAATGAAGGCCAGTCAGCGGACATGCAGGAACATCAGGACTCACAGGACATGCAGGATGGACCACCAGATGCAGTCATTGCGGATATGGTGAGCATGCTAACGCTGTATTGATGCATAATGACTATTAATTTTCCTTCAAGTCTGAATTGTATCTAGGAGCATTGCAGTTACGATAGGTCATTGGGTTGCTGGATCCTCACAACTGTAACATGTGAAAAATATATTCTGACGAGGAAGTTTATCTAGGCCCTAAGGGTAGCGCTGTGTATGTCTGTGTGTGTGTGTGTGTGTGTGTGTGTGTGTGTGTGTGTGTGTGTGTGTGTGTGTGTGTGTGTGTACATGTGTGTGTGTGTGTGTGTACGTGGGTGTGTGTGTGTGTGTGTGTACGTGGGTGTGTGTACATGTGTGTGTGTGTGTGTGTGTGTGTGTGTGTGTGTGTGTGTGTGCATGTGGTGTGTGTGTGTGTGTGTCCCATATGGTGCAATGATATGTGCAGCAAATTCCAATCGAGACTTTGCGGGTTCGATTCCTTGCGGCTATTGTCCGAAACACGTCTTTCTTGTCTTGCGTAGGCTCCTGACTTTTCTTTCATTCTCCGGGGTGGTTACCAACAACCAATGCTTGTGGTGTGACGTGTGTGTAGGTAAAAAAGACCCTCCCCTCCCCCGAAAAAGGAGGGATTCACTGGCCTGAAAAGCCACTTCATAGCAGTGTGATGTAGACCAGGCTGAATAGTGGCCGTCAATTCTTCAGCCTTGCAAGCGATTGAATTGAGCAATCTGAAGAAAGAGAAATACATGTGCGGCTGTACGTGTTGGTCACATCCATTGATGCTTGTGTTCCATTCTTTCATTGTGCTCAGCCTGATACTGATAGACCATCGATAATTAGTTCCATAACAACAAGTTCCAGCGCCTGGCTGAGACCTCCGCCCTCTGCATACTCGGCTGATGTAGAGAGTGGCAGGGACGACGGGGGAATATGCTGACAATATACACTTTGTTAAGGGTAAGAACTTATACACACACACACGCACACACACACACGCACACGCACACGCACACGCACACGCACACGCACACACACACACACACACACACACACACACACACACACACACACACACACACACAAATAATACCTTTCTTCTTTGCCCCTTTCGTCTCCCTTTACACAATACGTACTGAAAGAAAAAAGATATCTTCTTCTTCAAAGCATCAGTCGGGGAAGTGAACTGCTTGAAAAGGGAGAAAATCTTCTTCTTTCAGTGATTGGTGTAGGCCAAAGAACGTTTTCTCCCTTTACACAATACGTACTGAAAGAAAAAAGATATCTTCTTCTTCAAAGCATCAGTCGGGGAAGTGAACTGCTTGAAAAGGGAGAAAATCTTCTTCTTTCAGTGATTGGTGTAGGCCAAAGAACGTTTGAAGAGTGTCGTGAAGATGTGTGGATATAGTGGAAGGATACAGTCGAGTCTTCGCATTTTGAGAAATTTACTTAATCTGCCATGAACGTTATCTATGTGAGAGCCGCCCCATTACACACTCGACTGTGAGACTTTAACAGGCCGTAACTCGGTCAAAACTAGCTCAACATTCAACGATGCAAATATCTAGGTCGAAGAGAAAACTTTCAGTGTGCCGTAGACCCCATCCGCGAAGCGCTGCAATCCACGATTCCTCTGAGATAAATCACTCGTAAGTTCAGTCGCGATCGCGGCAACTGGAAAAGCATGGAGTGCACGCAAAAGTTTGGGAATTTTCGAGACTTTTCCTCACGTTGAGTTACTCAAATTTGCGTGGGTTTCATTGGTAGTATTGCCAAAAGTACATAGTGAAAAATCGAAACTCTGCGATCGAGAAAAATGAATGGCTGGAGCAGGACGAAATTGCATGGATTTCAAGCAGCTGTCGCTATTTCGCTGCTCTCCAGCGCTGGACATATGGTGCCCTGGTCATCATGTGAGATCTCAGTCTCTTTCGTGGAGACCTTTCCAGAAAGCTCAAAATTGTGAAGATTGAGTGAGTGGAACTGAAGTTAAGTTCGAAAGAAAATGAAAATACCCAGAATTTTGAAATTCCCAATCGGCTCTCAAAGGGTAAACTTTATAACCGCAATCAATAGGACAAGTTTAATTGACATGAAAACTTTTTTCGATAAGGGCGGCATTACGAAAATGGAACCGTGCCTTCAGTGTGTGGTTCAGAATAATTTGCGCAGATAGAGTATTTGTGGCTGTGTGTATGCCAATTTCAAGTATTTAAAGGTATGGCGAGGAGACAACAATCCAATAACCGCAAACAATAAGACAAGCTGAATCGACATTAAAAACAATTTGCCTGCAACTTTGTAACCGGCATTCAATTAACTGAGCGCAAGTGAAACGTCGCTCTTGAACACAAGAAAAAGAGCACGTAGCAAGGTCAGCAAAGCGAGGTTGTGGACTGGGTCTCATTCCCCCAAAAAAATTTAAAAGGTGGGGATTGGTTATGATATGTTTGGCAAGCCATCCTCTTTTTCGTTATTAGGTGCCCTGATGCGGCTAATGGGGTTTCTTGGCACTTGTGCCAGTGGTTGTGAGACTTATGCCCTCACCCCCACCCCCTCCCCACAGGGTGCTGCAGTTGCGCTGGATTTTTGGAGTGTTAGTGGCTGGACCGAGTTCTCTCGAGAACAGAGACGGTGACTGACTTTACTTTTCTCATCTTCTTTGTTTCCTGTTGGAAACATGGATGCAGCGAAGGGGATTATTTGGTTTTTGACCACTTGGTGGTGAGTCTGATCTACTCACACCCCACTTGTAATTCTGATTTACTCACACCCCACTTGTCAGTCTGATCTACTCACTCCCCACTTGTCAGTCTGATCTACTCACTCCCCACTTGTTAGTCTGATCTACTCACTCCCCGCTTGTCAGTCTGATCTACTCACTCCCCACTTGTCAGTCTGATCTACTCACTCCCCACTTGTCAGTCTGATCTACTCACTCTCCACTTGTTAGTCTGATCTACTCACTCCCCACTTGTTAGTCTGATCTACTCACTCCCCACTTGTCAGTCTGATCTACTCACTCCCCACTTGTCAGTCTGATCTACTCACTCCCCACTTGTTAGTCTGATCTACTCACTCCCCACTTGTCAGTCTGATCTACTCACTCTCCACTTGTTAGTCTGATCTACTCACTCTCCACTTGTCAGTCTGATCTACTCACTCCCCACTTGTCAGTCTGATCTACTCACTCCCCACTTGTCAGTCTGATCTACTCACTCCCCACTTGTTAGTCTGATCTACTCACTCCCCACTTGTCAGTCTGATCTACTCATGCCTCACTGCTTTAGAAGCTGCTCTGCACCTTAACAAGGCGTAGGCACTGTAAAAGCCATTATTCTGACGAGGCGCAGATATAACGATTTCCTAAAATCGATTGGTTTACGTGTACCGAAGGTAACGATTCTCACGTATTCTCAACGCTCAATAGGACGGTATAATATGTATCCATTTCTGTTTTAACGATTTCTATTTCAACGACAGATTTCTACTCGTTAACTCGTTAGAATTAGCACTTCATTATAATTATAATATGGCTTTTAGAGTATAATTATAATTATTTATTTGAGGGCTGACCGAAAAGCAATTCGGGCTATGGTGGATCCGGAGAGGGTGGTGGTGGTGTTCCTACAGCTGCGAAGAGCTCGGTCTAACTTACTACTGTAAGATCAGATATTTTAACGTCAATTAAAATTAACGATCTCCGGATTATTTGTGGGTTAGCGAGGTGAAATTCTAACGAATTCTGTCTCGAAACCGACAAATGGTTGTACATGCACATATCGTTTTGCATAATAACGATTTCAAAATAACGATTCTTTCAGTTTCAATTCTCGTTGGAATTAAATGTTCGTTAACATCACTGGTCTAACTGTGTATAACGCTAACCGTGAAAACTGTTTCTTCCCTGTCCAGGTGCTGGTTCTGACACAGTTGGCGGATAGTCAACATTCTAGCTTGTGCAGCCATTGAGCAATGCCAGGAATGGTTACACACACAACACGTCTTGACCGATGGATTCCGATATGTTTTCGCACTGCCAGCGGTTGTTGTAAGGAATTGTATCTTTGGCAAGGTCCGTACGAGCGCAGTGTCATGAATCGACATAATAATATGCTCTGTGAAAGTAAAGAAATGATTAGGTCATGATGATGTCATCGGGCATTCTTGTTTGAGCCCTGAATGCACCTTGTCTCGTGAGCAACAGTGTCTTTTCACTTTGCCTAATGATGCCGTTGGATTTAAAATCTTTGTCGTTTACCGGGAATATGTCTGAAACCAAGGCTTGTTCTGATGTTCAACGGAATGAGATGTCCAATGACTTTCAATATATCCATCGACACCGTGCGTGACTGTCCATATTAAAATAATTATTTACTATTTTGGCCTGTATGGTTTAACCAATCAGTGTTCCTTCCTTACCATATTTTGTCCACTTGTTTTTTTGAAAATACAAGTACTTGTCAATCATATCCATATATAGTAATTATTACGTTGAGCTCAGGCCAACAAAATGTATAGTGTTTTGAAAACTATTGCTACAGTATCCAAGAATTGCTGGGGCAATGCAAGCGACTTTTGTCCAAGCACATGCGATATAGCGACCATGCAGACTACAATTGTGGGCGAGTGTCTGAGGTCTGAGGGCGGGCGTGCATGCTTGCAAGCGGGCGGTTGGGTGTTATGGTGAATGGAACCCACGATAGGGTCATAGAACGGAGGATATCTCAGGAGGTACTATGGCTGTGTTCTTGGTGAGACTTTCCAGACCAGACAGTCCTGTTGAAGATCACCAGCACTATAATTCTGTAGTATGCGTACGCTGCACTAATGTGACAGGGCATCCTAGTTGACAATGGATTTCTTGCCACCTCCGTCTTCATCCCGGACCACACAGCCTGGCTGCACTGCCGTAGCATAGTTTTCGTGGATCTAAAGTCAGCGTCGTCATGACTCCCGGCTGGCCATGCTGTAGCACTTGTCATTCAAGCTGATTAACTAGAGGGGAGGTTAATTAAGCCTAAAATCAAATTTTCACCAGTTGTAGTGTTCGGGGTGCTGAGTCGAATGGTCTTGGTCCGAGGAAGCTGAGACGCTCCCCTCCTCCTTTATTCCCAATCGAACTCGCGCACTTCCACCGAAACTGGGTGACTGCGCCCTACTAGATGGGAATTTGTATGCAAAATGTCACTAAAAGCACCATTTCGTTCTTATAAAAGCACGGATGACCCCGATTGGCTCATATGTTTTATTTATATTTATTTATTATTATTATTTTTGCGGGATTCCCCAAAGGCCGAAGCCTAAATCAGGGGGGTCTCCGAGAATAAATATACGTGTACAATACGTGTACAATAGGGTGCAATTTTTAAAAGGAAGAAAATATTAAGATAAAAAAGATTAATGTGAAGAGGTTAATTTAAAAGACGTCTGAGTAGAAGGAAGCGAAAAGGGTGCTGGTAAAGAAGGGGGTGATCAGGAAGTGAAAAAACCTCGAGGATGGAATCTATACCTGTGGAAATGGGACTTAATACCGGCTAAATACACCACGGGTTTCAGATATCCTAATCTCGGCAGGCAGGGAGTTCCACGTGGTGATCATGGATTGTAGTAGAGTGGAGCGGAAACAGGGACCAGTGTGAGTGAGAAGGAGGTAAAAGTGAGGACGTCGTGCACTCTTGGATAGAGCTACGCTGAAATCATTGAGGGGTTCTGCAACGGATTTGAGGGTTTCTGGGCATTGGCGAGTGAAATGGTAAAACAGTGTGAGGCAATGTATGTGTCGCCGCCACGCAAGACTTTCCCATTCAGCACCTTCAAACACGTTCGACGTGCCATGAGGAATGG